TTCTACATCTGAGATTCTATTTTCTGTATGATCTAGTCTGCTTTTTAATACTTTCAAGGGAGATTTTGACTTCCTGTATTATAGCTTTCATCTCTAACAGTTCCATCTGATTCTTTTGTAAAGTGTGAAATTCCTCTTTTAGATCTTGCATGAATTTCCTCACCTCCTGGAACTCTACAACTTCTTTCTCCTTCCTCTTCAGCAGTTCATTGTCTCTCTTCTCTTCCATCTCTGTTAGTTTTTCCATTATGAATGTTCTGAATTCTTTATCAGACATTTCCATGAATTCCCTTGAACTGTGTGTGGATGAAGACGAGTTATCCTTTTCCTTTGGAGGAGAGGTATTTTCCTGCTTTCCCATATTTCTTGTGGCCCTGCAGTGATTTCTAGTCATCTGGTTGATGGTCAGTTTCTTCCCAAACTTGGAAGTTCAATCTGAGCATTGAGGAGCGTGCAGAAAAGAAAACAGAAAGAGAGAAACAACAGCAACAACAGCAAAGAAAAAAAAAGAAACAGAAAAAGAGAAGAAAAAAAAACAAAGATAAAACTTCTCAATACAACTTAAAAAATTAATATTTTTAAAAAATTTTAGTAAAAAAACAAAAATTGAAAAACCGCGTGATGCATTGTGTGCCACGCAAAATTCTAAAAAGCAAAAATTTAAAAAAAAAAGAGGGGACAGAGACCGAGACAGAGGTAGAGAGAGACAAAGACAGGTACAGAGACAGGAGGCCTGGAAGGGGTCTTCCTACCATGCGAGTTTTGTGTGCTGGAGGCCAAATTATCAGTGGGAAGTCTTGATTTCTGTTCCCCCAAAATGGCTAGTTTCTAATTGTTTTCTTTAATGGTTAATGAGATGCACATTATTTTAGTTGGTGGTTTTTCTATACCGTAGTAACTTGAAAGAGAGGTTTCTTACATGATGTGTAATGGAACTGATAACTGAAGGTGCAGTTTATTCAGACAGAAAGTTTCTTCATTTGAACATACATTGGCCATGAACAAAGATGTCTAAATAAGTCTGCTGGGCTGCTTAGTCTGTCCCCTTTGCTGTCTCCCACAGTCACATCAGACTTATTTTTGTGCCTTTGTGTAGGCCACTCTGCTCCATTTGAATGACTGAGTCCTCTTGCTCAGTTTTCCTCATCGATAACAGTACCGACCTCATGGGGGGTTCTTTGGAGTATTAGATGAGTTAGCTCTTCTTCTTCTTCTTCTTCTTCTTCTTCTTCTTCTTCTTCTTCTTCTTCTTCTTCTTCTTTTAGTTTGCAATAGGGTGTATGTACTTGCTAGAGAGAGAGGGGAGAGAGAAAGAGAAAGCCCCACATCCCAGTGCCACCCAGGGAGAATGGTCACACTGTAATCCTTTCCCCTCCATTCTCCTCTCAGGATTTTGGGAATGCACATACTACCTGGCATGATTTTTCATGTTATCAGGTCTGGGGTTTGAACCATGTAGTCGGCCATGTGGGATCCAGCTGCATTGACCACTACATCACTGGTTGGCCCTTAATATTATTTAAATCAGCAGATCTTTCTAGGAGCAGCTCGGGAATACTCCTTACTCAATGACGTCTTCCTTGATGATTTAAATCTGCAGGAATCACTCCTTCCTCTGGATTTTGTAATTATTGTAAATAATTCTACTCATTTGGCACTTATCATTCGCTATCTTGCTTGGATCGCTCTCTGTATATATTGTGTTCCTCAAAAACCTACAATTTCTTTGGAAGAAGTTTATGTCTTAAACTTTTGGACATAAAGTTCCCTCAATGTACCTAGCAAGTTCTCTCTGTGTAATTGTTGACTGAATGTTTCAATGGTTTGCTTATGTTAAAAATGATCAGAGAAACCACCTGTACATATTCACAGTTGATGTTTGCAAAAGGCTCCTTTATTTTTTCCATATTTTAGTGTGTTACATTTACTCTCTAAATGCACATTTTTCATAAATACCCAGTATCCCCAGTATATACCTATTAAAAGAGCCCTCCAGGCTCAGCAGAGCTGACTCCAGCTGTGGGGCATCTATGCAGGGGACGGGGTCACATGGGAGGCCCATGTTTGGTTCCAGACCAACCTGAGTAGACCAGGCACGGTGGTGAAATTCTGAGGTGGGAGGGTTGTGATGCATGGGATCCTGCCAAGGATACCTAATTTACGAGTGGGCTCTCTCTCTCTCTCATTAAATGAATTTTTTAAAATAGTGCTATAGAACAAAGGGTACTACTAAGTTCTCAGTGCCTCTGTTGGAGATGCTTCACTTCTGTGTTGCCGTCTCAGGAGTAAAGTTTTTCAGTGGAGAGATCTTGATCAACATGATGATGAAGGCTAAGCAGGTCAATTGAGGTCTTACAGCGTTTCTAGATACAAGACTATCTTTGATTGGCAATCTACCTCCCATTTCGATGAGCCCTACTTCAATTGTCAGAATTGACAGTTTTATGTGTATATGTGTGTGTATATGTGTGTGTGTGTGTGTGAGAGAGAGAGAGAGAGAGAGAGAGATTTTTGCTATAGGTTGTGTATGCATAATAGAGAGAGAAACAGACAGAAGGCAAGAAATCATCCCCTGGGTGGATGGCCATGCCATAATCTTTTTTCCTCCATTCTCCTCTCAGGATTTTCCCTCCATTCTCCTCTCAGGATTTTGGGCACACATGCACATATGCCCAGCATGTTTCAAGCCTCCAGGTCCAGAATTTGAATCTCGGTCAGCCAAGTGGAAATCCAGTGTCTTAACCACTATGCCACCTGCTGGCCCCAAGAGTTGGTAGTTTTAAGTAGACTGCATTTGGTTGTGAAGGGTAAAGTCACCATGATCATAACATTCTTTTTTTTTTTTTTAAAAAGAATTATTTTATTTAATGTTATATATTTGTTTATTTATTCATTTAGTTTAATTTGACCAAAGGAGGACAGTGAGAGAGAGAGAAAGAGTGAGAAAGCAAGCCACCAGGTCCAGGACTTGAACCGTGGTTGGCCATGTGGGAATCCAGAGCCCTTAACCACCACACCACCTGCTGGCTCCTGATTACAACATTTTTAATGCCTACTACTAGACATAGCAAGCATTATGCTATATTGCTTCCTTTAATTTCAAGTTCTATTTATTACACATCTTTCCTGTCTCCATAAAATGCCTGAGGTGTTTAACTAGAAACATAACTTGTCACACAGAAAGCAGAATTAAATCAAGTTGATATGAATGCTTAAGAAAGGAGCAAAACAAAATAATATTAGTAACATTTACCTTATTTCCTTCAAGGAGTCACTTACTTACCCCTTTTTACAAGAAAAGTGAGCATTAGATTTATACCCTACATCATCATTGTCGTAGGTTAATCCACCATTTGCGGGACGTAGTAGATATGAGCACGCTTTTGCTAAAAGAAGATAATTTTGAAATTTGTTCTGTTAATCCAGTTTTAAAACAGGCTTTAGCCAAAATCAAAATTCTATGTTGCTCTTTTATATATACAAGAATATTAGTTTCTTCATTTACCCATTATAAGGCCAAGAAAAAGATGCCCTGGAGATTTCTCAAAGCATGAAAAAATACATTGTTATCTAGAACTAAGTTTCACATGAGAAAATGATTATTGCAGTAGTAGAATATGTGTCCTAAAATGTGTGATCATGGTTAGAATAAGGAAAAAAAAATTGTTAACTTACAGAAACAATTATAGTCGAAGACAAGAGACCATGAGTTATTTTCCAGGCAAACAGTAGTCATGATCCGTTTAGGTATGTAGAAGTACTGTGGTTTACACCGATACTGTACTTTTTCGCCAACTGAATAATTGGATTTAGGTTTCTCAATAGTCTCCATAGCTAGATATAGTGGTGGTGGACCACAGGCATCTAGGGATAAGAGAATAAAAACACGGTCATAAAGCATTAATGTTACTTTCAGCACCCAAGTACTGTGATCTGACTGCCTGTAGTACAGAAAAAGATGGAAAGGTCTTTGGCAAGATTTAAATGATTGTTCCATGCTTTTACCCAAGTAACAGTAGTAGTGGAGGAATATGCCTGGTTTGCTTTATTTTATTTTATATTTTTAAAGAATTATTTTATTGAACTTTATTTATTTATTTTAATTTGACCAGAGAGGGACAGAGTGAAAGAGAGAGAAAGAAATTGAGAAGGCAAGCCACCAGATCTGGAACCATGGTCAGCCATGTGGGAGTCCAGTGCCCTTAACCAACATGCCACCTGCTGGTCCACCTTGCTTGCTTTAAATAACATCCTATTAGCTTTTGGATTGTTTGGAAATAAATGGCAATTTTTAAAAAAAGAATTATTTAATTTTATTTGTTATCATCATCATCATTGGTTTTTTTTTTTTCTTTAATTCACCAGAGAGGGACAGAGAGAGAGAGAGAGAAAAGGAGAAAGCAAACTAAGGTCCTGGACTCGAATCACTGTTAGAGTCCAGTGCCTTAACCACCATGTCCACCTGCTGCTCCATAAACTGCATTTTCATTCAACAGTAAATTGAAAAGACAATAGCACTCTTTTTGGTCTTGAAAAATACACATAGGCATGAAAGTGTTTTCCTGAGTGTTTTCCTACATTTGGTTAGATACCTACCTCTATTTGTAAGTTTCTGAGGAACCTCCACATTGTCCTCCACAGCGACTGGACTTACGTACATTATCACCAACAGTGTAGGAGGGTACACTTTTTACCACAGCCTCACTAGCATTTGTCATTTAAAAAAACAAAAAACAAAAAAAAACAACAAAAAAAAAACTATAGCCATTCTGACTGGGGTTAAGTAGTATCTCACTGAGATTTCGATTTGCATTTTCCGTTAGCTGTTGATGGTGACATATATGGTAAAATCTTTGACCTGACTAACATGTACCTCATACGTGCTGGGAAAAACCATGTTGTGAGCTGTAAAGATGTAGGATGATTAAAAAAAAACATACATACCTATGCATCTTTTCCCACTTTTTCCTAAATTCATCTCAAAACTACTCTCTCCTCTAAGTCTTCAGTAGTACATAATCCTCTGTCCACATGACTTCCAAAAAACTTCTAACAGCTTGTCATTCTAGGCTCCATTTCTTTTTAGAAGGCACGTTTCTTGAGGTAGAGGGACCATGTTTTCTTTCCCTAAATCATCCCCTGGGTGGATGGCCATGCCATAATCTTTTTTCCTCCATTCTCCTCTCAGGATTTTCCCTCCATTCTCCTCTCAGGATTTTGGGCACACATGCACATATGCCCAGCATGTTTCAAGCCTCCAGGTCCAGAATTTGAATCTCGGTCAGCCAAGTGGAAATCCAGTGTCTTAACCACTATGCCACCTGCTGGCCCCAAGAGTTGGTAGTTTTAAGTAGACTGCATTTGGTTGTGAAGGGTAAAGTCACCATGATCATAACATTCTTTTTTTTTTTTTTAAAAAGAATTATTTTATTTAATGTTATATATTTGTTTATTTATTCATTTAGTTTAATTTGACCAAAGGAGGACAGTGAGAGAGAGAGAAAGAGTGAGAAAGCAAGCCACCAGGTCCAGGACTTGAACCGTGGTTGGCCATGTGGGAATCCAGAGCCCTTAACCACCACACCACCTGCTGGCTCCTGATTACAACATTTTTAATGCCTACTACTAGACATAGCAAGCATTATGCTATATTGCTTCCTTTAATTTCAAGTTCTATTTATTACACATCTTTCCTGTCTCCATAAAATGCCTGAGGTGTTTAACTAGAAACATAACTTGTCACACAGAAAGCAGAATTAAATCAAGTTGATATGAATGCTTAAGAAAGGAGCAAAACAAAATAATATTAGTAACATTTACCTTATTTCCTTCAAGGAGTCACTTACTTACCCCTTTTTACAAGAAAAGTGAGCATTAGATTTATACCCTACATCATCATTGTCGTAGGTTAATCCACCATTTGCGGGACGTAGTAGATATGAGCACGCTTTTGCTAAAAGAAGATAATTTTGAAATTTGTTCTGTTAATCCAGTTTTAAAACAGGCTTTAGCCAAAATCAAAATTCTATGTTGCTCTTTTATATATACAAGAATATTAGTTTCTTCATTTACCCATTATAAGGCCAAGAAAAAGATGCCCTGGAGATTTCTCAAAGCATGAAAAAATACATTGTTATCTAGAACTAAGTTTCACATGAGAAAATGATTATTGCAGTAGTAGAATATGTGTCCTAAAATGTGTGATCATGGTTAGAATAAGGAAAAAAAAATTGTTAACTTACAGAAACAATTATAGTCGAAGACAAGAGACCATGAGTTATTTTCCAGGCAAACAGTAGTCATGATCCGTTTAGGTATGTAGAAGTACTGTGGTTTACACCGATACTGTACTTTTTCGCCAACTGAATAATTGGATTTAGGTTTCTCAATAGTCTCCATAGCTAGATATAGTGGTGGTGGACCACAGGCATCTAGGGATAAGAGAATAAAAACACGGTCATAAACCATTAATGTTACTTTCAGCACCCAAGTACTGTGATCTGACTGCCTGTAGTACAGAAAAAGATGGAAAGGTCTTTGGCAAGATTTAAATGATTGTTCCATGCTTTTACCCAAGTAACAGTAGTAGTGGAGGAATATGCCTGGTTTGCTTTATTTTATTTTATATTTTTAAAGAATTATTTTATTGAACTTTATTTATTTATTTTAATTTGACCAGAGAGGGACAGAGTGAAAGAGAGAGAAAGAAATTGAGAAGGCAAGCCACCAGATCTGGAACCATGGTCAGCCATGTGGGAGTCCAGTGCCCTTAACCAACATGCCACCTGCTGGTCCACCTTGCTTGCTTTAAATAACATCCTATTAGCTTTTGGATTGTTTGGAAATAAATGGCAATTTTTAAAAAAAGAATTATTTAATTTTATTTGTTATCATCATCATCATTGGTTTTTTTTTTTTCTTTAATTCACCAGAGAGGGACAGAGAGAGAGAGAGAGAAAAGGAGAAAGCAAACTAAGGTCCTGGACTCGAATCACTGTTAGAGTCCAGTGCCTTAACCACCATGTCCACCTGCTGCTCCATAAACTGCATTTTCATTCAACAGTAAATTGAAAAGACAATAGCACTCTTTTTGGTCTTGAAAAATACACATAGGCATGAAAGTGTTTTCCTGAGTGTTTTCCTACATTTGGTTAGATACCTACCTCTATTTGTAAGTTTCTGAGGAACCTCCACATTGTCCTCCACAGCGACTGGACTTACGTACATTATCACCAACAGTGTAGGAGGGTACACTTTTTACCACAGCCTCACTAGCATTTGTCATTTAAAAAAACAAAAAACAAAAAAACAACAAAAAAAAAACTATAGCCATTCTGACTGGGGTTAAGTAGTATCTCACTGAGATTTCGATTTGCATTTTCCGTTAGCTGTTGATGGTGACATATATGGTAAAATCTTTGACCTGACTAACATGTACCTCATACGTGCTGGGAAAAACCATGTTGTGAGCTGTAAAGATGTAGGATGATTAAAAAAAAACATACATACCTATGCATCTTTTCCCACTTTTTCCTAAATTCATCTCAAAACTACTCTCTCCTCTAAGTCTTCAGTAGTACATAATCCTCTGTCCACATGACTTCCAAAAAACTTCTAACAGCTTGTCATTCTAGGCTCCATTTCTTTTTAGAAGGCACGTTTCTTGAGGTAGAGGGACCATGTTTTCTTTCCTTTCCTACTACACTCTATACTCAGTGGGTGATAAAGAAATGCTACGGTAAGAAGTGGTTACTAAATAAGTATTATGGATTTCAAGGGCCAAAATAAATCTAGACTAAAGTATTTCAAAAGATAAGACTTCATTTATTTGACATGAGTGAACTGAGCATCTTACAAGTGAATAAGTGCATTTAACTATAAGAATTCTCTACTTTGCATAGTGCTTCATGACTTTTTTCCTTTCTTGAACAGTAAACACGATTTAATCTTCCTTCACTGATCACTGCATCACACCATCCAAGAACATCCTGAGGTGGACATTGGGCTATTTTTATTATTATATTCCTACAGGAACGCTACTAATTGCTGTTCTTTTAGAATTTTTACTTCTGCTTCTTTACACTATCTTTTTCTCCTTAGAGTGGTATCACTTATATTTCAGCAACTCCTCGCTTTGTGGACTTGTAAACCAAACAAATCAGCTAGAAAAATGATGTAAAATAAGATGATGGACACATCAAGTAAGGCCTAAACAGCTGGGACCAGCAGATGGCACAGTGGTTACATCGCTGGATTCCCACGTGGCCGATCATGGATAAGTCCTAGACCCAGTGGCTTCAAAATCATGTTGGGCATGTGTGCATGCCCAAGATCCCAGGAAGAAAATGGAAGAGAAGGGATTGTGGTGTGGGCAGCCTCCCTGGGGCGGGGGGGAGGGTGATTTCTCACTTTCCCTCTTTACTGTCTCTGTCTCTCTGGCAAGGGCACACACCCTTAAGCAAAAATAAATAAATAAATAAATAAATAAATAAATAAATAAATAAATAAAATAAAATAACAAAAAAACCTCTCAAAAAAAAAAAAAAAAAAAGGCCTAAACAGCTAAAAAGGATACAAGGCCGCTCCTGTAAGGGAAGGAACTAAAGAAATATATCTATTTTGATCTCCGGGGAGCTTTTTCTTTCTTACTGCCAGGATCTCAGTCATCCTTCAGATTAAGAGACTGGTTAAGAGAACTCCAAATAAGTAAAGCGTTACTTTGCTTTCATGTCATATTATCAATTCTAAAACTCGATGCATATATACTGTCTGGCATTTTATTTACATCATGTCCTCCCATCCACCTACTGGAAAGATGTGTTCAACATTTTCTCTGTGCTGACCTAGGTATCTGAATGTCCCTCAGTTTGGTTAACTGCCTAAAACAAAACAAAAGCAAAAGCAAACAGAAAGCCCTAGTCATCAAAAGCATCGCTTAAAAAAAGAATTTGTATAGAGTTCACTTTTATTGCTAATGCTAACTTTATTAAATGGCTTAAGTCAGACATTTTCATTTTCCATTTAGACAGAAGAAAAGACTAGAAGGACATAATTTTGTCCTATATGTAAATACAGAAAATGGTTCTAGGATGTCCTGGAACCAAGACAGAATTCAAGTCACAGCATGCCCGTGATAAAATGATTCCTTTAAATTATCCTTTGTTTTATGCATTCTATCTCAGAAACTGAGAAGAGAGGATTCCTAACTCAACTTTCATATATAGTGCTCTGTACAGAAAAAGAAATATCAATCAGATGATGGTCTGGTCAACTAGTCTTCTCTCTCATCAAGAAAGACATACTTTCAACAATGTACGGAGTTTTAAATTGCTAGTTTGGCAGCCTCGGGATCACAAGCTTTATACAGTATAATAATGAAGTATAATATCACACTTTTTCATAGTTAGAATTTTAATTTTTATGCTTTATTTTTTTTAAGAATTATTTAACTCTATATAATCAGAGAGGCAAAGTGAGAGCAAGAGGGAGAGAGAGAGAGAGGGAAAGTGAGAAAGCGAGCCGTCAGGTGTAGGACTTGAACTGCAGTCGGCCATGTGGGAGTCCAGTGCCCTTAACTACCATGCCACCTGCTTGCCCCAATTTTTTAAAATTTGTTTTAGGGCACATGTGTTCATCAGAGAGAGACAGAGAGAGGGGAGGGGAGAATGAGAAAACAAACTACCAGGTCCAGGACTCAAACCATGATTGGCCATGTGGGAGTCCAAAACCTTAACCACTATGCCTTCTGCTGGCCCCATAGTTTAAAATGATTTTTTAAAAAGGGTGCATGCAGGAAATTCTCCAAAGTTCCAGGGAAGTTTCAAGAAAGTGAATTAGCTCTCTACACTGGATTCACTAAACTGGATTCACTGATACCTTCTTGACACACCTGCTTGCAAAATTAACCTTCTGAGGGCAAGACTGGCATAACATTAATGCAGCTGGACCTATGTGGTAGGTTTCTAGTTCTCATCTTTGGGCCTCTCCGTATATGTTGGGGTGCATGAGTCTGCCCACCCGTTATCTGGGCTGGGAGTGAATCATGATGTGAGGACCCTGTTGGAGATGCCTGTCTCTCTGTGTGTCTATCTGTATCTCTCATGGAAGAAATAAATACAGAAACACTTAACAAAAAGAAAACTAACCATCTGAAGTATCCACACATCCACACCCCTTCACAGATTGGGACCAGTAACAATTCATGGTGTCTGACCACAACTGGAACTGCCATGAAACCTGACCACCTTGTTCCTTTTCCACATGATCATCTTGCTCCTGTCCACATGACCTATTTTGACATCTTCTTTGCTCCCTTAAGATGCAGACTCTGACATCTATATCCATCAATTTTATCTCTCACTTCCCACTTATCTCTAGGTCCACAAAAATCACTTGTTAAATCATCCTAACAGGTTCTTCTTCGATAGTTTTAATATCTCCAGTAACATCAGGAGATATTGGCCACTCCTTCCTCACACTCTTCTGCCTAAAGAGATGTTTCTCCTTGGCCACCAGGAGAACACCCCCCCCTGCTTTTCAGCTGTCTTCTGGCCACTCTTCCCTCTCAGCCTGATGGGATAATGTGATGCCTCTAACCGTGCTACTTGAGGACCTCTTGTTATTCCACTCTGCAGGTTCCTGTGTTACTACATACACTCCCATGACTTTTTAAAATCACGGATTACCAGCTACCTCCCAAATCCCTTTTGTCATCCTAGATTATGAGCAGGGATGCCAAGTCTGCATATTCAATTGTCTTTCCACACTGCTCCACTTGGGATGTGTCCCACTATCTCAACACAGTGAAGCCTAAGGGTGGTCACTTTTGCTTTTGTGTTTAATAGTTAACATGGCTAACTCCATTCATTCCTGTGACCACAACACTTAGCACAGTATGTCCCTTATATTAGCTGTCCAAAAAAAAACCCTGGTAATCAGACTGTCAAGGTTGTAAAACAAAACGATGACGAATGTACTGTAATGACGTGGTAGTGTATTGATCTGCAGTGCTGGAGGCCACATGATTGACAGCACATTAGGCTCTCAAATCAACCTGATACACATCAGGCACATACACATAGTGGGACTATTAGTCTCTTTACTTTCCGTGTTCACCCTATTTATTTTACTTATCTATTTTCCTCTTTTACAAATAGCTTTCATGGTCTTCTTTCACTTCTAGTTCTAAGCTGAGTCTGACATTATTCTTTTTTTAAAAAAAATGACTTTTGTTGTCTCATCAACACTGTTCCCTACTCCCATAATCCCGTTCAAAATGAACTTTTTAGTACTTGTAAGAAGCAAGAACTGGAAGACTGGGAGCCTTGGAGGGTCAATGAGAACAGGGAAAGACAGATCCTTTCTGATCCTCAGCTGCCCCACCCTAGCACCACAGGAGGGGCATCCTAACCCTGACTCTTTTGAGAACTTCCCTTCTGGAAGCAGGAGGTAGTTTTACTGGCTGTAAGCTCTGGTCAAACATCATATTTAATTTTCTAGTTTTTAACAATATACAAAAATATCGATAGGCTGGGACCAGCAGTTAGTGTAATGGCTATGTCGTTGGACTCCCATGTAGTCGACCGTGGTTCAAGTCCCAGACCCAGCAGCTTAAACTGACGCCAGGCACATGTGCGTGCGTGCCCAAGATCCCGAGAGGAGAATGGAGGAGAAGGGATTGTGGCATGGCCATCCCCCCTGGGGGGTGATTTCTCACTTTCTGTCTCTCTGTCTCTCTCTGCCTGTCTGGCGAGCGAACGCAACCTATAGCATAAACCTCTCAAAAAAAAAATATATATAGATATCGATAGGAAAAATTAAAAAAGAGTATTTGGGACCTGAAATGTGACAAGACAGACAACAAGATCTCTGTCTAATGGAGAAAGCTGTAGAACAAAAGAGGGTTTCAGAAGGGTGATTACAAGTAAGGCGGGATATAACAGTAAGCAAAACAAAGCCCCTGTTAGCATTCATGCGTGTATCTGTATGTAAACAAATAAAGAAATAAGGATCAGGAAAACACAGTGGTTTGTTATTGCCTACCAGTGTGTCCTCAGGACCAGCACAAGACCTGGGACCTAGGGACCAGCAGTTAGCATAATGGCTATGTCACTGAACTCCCACGTAGTCGACCGTGGTTCGAGTCCTGGACCTGGTGGCTTAAACTCACGCCGGGCACATGTGTGTGCGTGCCCAAGATCCCGAGAGGAGAAAAAAAAAAGACCTGAGACCTAGAAGGCAAGTATCTGTTGAGCGAATGCTGCTAAGGAGAGAAATGCAGTATACAAACCAAACCTTAGAGGTAATAGGATCCTAAATACCACTGAACACACGAAGTGCAGGTAAGGACAGAGGGAAATAAACCAAAACATGAAAAATACTTGGCCTTTGTGTAAGTTTGAAGCTTTATACAATAAGGGTGTATTTTGTAGCACATATTTTTAACAAATACTTATTCTATTCAGTGAAATATAAAATTAACTTAATGGGATGAGTCTTTCGCTTTAGTTTATGAGCTATAGAGAAAAGCCAGACTGACTTTATTTAGAGTTTTCTTAGGATACTAATTTCTCACTAAGTTTGGCTGCCAATGTTTTTTAGGTTCCTTCAGATCTCCCCTAAAATATACCCAACCATTATTAGGTGATAGAGTCGGATACTGTCTATTGGTTGGAAACATGAAGATGACTCCATGGTCAAAAAGAAAACAAAAACCAGCCACTTGTAAACCAAGACCAAACAGGAAACTGTTTCCTGAAGGTACAAAAATCTTGGCGTGCCCCTCACATCCCTCTAAACTCAGGCGCCAGCACCAAGAGCCTACTGTCACCCCGACAAACAGCACACGTGCCCTCCCCAGCCCCAGCCTGTGCTCACTCCCTGCAAAGCAAACTGCGCTTTGCTTGGTGGTGGGGCAGGCCACAGCAGAGCGCACTCTGAGAAACAACTGGCTGGTACTTCCCCGGCCCTTCCCACCCGGGCCGCAGGTACTGCCGAGATCCTACAAACCCCACATGTACCAAGACACCACCCCACCCAGGGGACACAGGGCAACATCAACGCACAGCACGGGCCCTAGCAACACCCCCACGCACCTGGGCATCCTGAGCAGGTGCTCACCTGGAGCTCCGATTCCGCGCTCGCCATTCCCCATCCGGACACCCGCTGCAAGTTTTTGCTAGGACACAGCTAGGCCCTGGGCCAACACCAGCCACACCAACCGCCCCTGGCACTGCACGATGTCGACCACCAAGCAAGCTCCCCTCGGACACTGCATGGTCCCCCAGGTCCTCGTCACGTACACATAGCCCTGCATCCTTGCACTGTATCCTTCGGAGGAAAAGCCAGGCCACGCTATTTCTCTACTTCTGCCCCAGGTCAGTCAGCCCCATGCCTCCTGCCCCACCGACCGAGCAAGGGTCCATCCTCGCCGCTGGCGCGCACACACTCGCCAGGGTCCTACCGGAGGAGGCAGACAGCAGGAACACCAGGGATCCCACAAGGATCCCAAACAAGCACCGGGAAGAAATGGGACTCTCGCAGCGACCTGGAAGGGGCACGCACGGCGCGAAGGACGCCGTCATTTTTTTTTTCCCCGAGATGCGCGAAGAAACTGAGAGCCCACTGAGGAGAGTCCCTTTTGAGTCTGGTTAACAGACGCAACAATCCCCAAACTCACAGTGTCCAGAGCCTCACGGCAGGTGGGCGTGGCCTAGGCTGCGCGGGGGCGGAAGCTGCCAGAGGGGCTGGGCTGGATGGGGCCAATCGGCGGGCTGTAAGGCGGGGCTTCGACTCGGGTTCGCAGCCGGTTGGAACCTGTAGAAGATGGGGCACGGCCCTGACTGGAGTCTAGCCAACCAGTTTCCTCCGAGGTTGTGCGCACCTCCTGGATGTGTGTGTGTGTATGTGTGTGTGAGTATGTGTGTGTGTGTTTGTGTTCTGCGAGCTCTAGATTGAAGAATAAAGCACGCTGACCTAAAAATAGAGACCCAGACCCCAGGTGGCGGGTCACCGTGGGCTAGCAGATCTCAGGGGTGTACGCGGGCATTTCCTCCCCTGGAGCACCTGTTCTGTGCTAACTGGATGCTTGGCATTAGTCAAACATCATTAGGGTCAATACTTGGGTTTTTCTTGCTTAAATGTACTGAATTATCTCGTGGTGTGCTGGTTTCAAAATCCCAAAGTTGGCCACTGCACTCCGGACTTCTACTGTAATTTGCTCTTACAGCTTCTCCCTTGAGAGGAGACCCAGGAGAATATAAATGACTAAACAACACCGTTATTAGCATACTGGGACTCTTTGGGGTCCTTGCACTAGAGCAACTCAACATTCAAAAATGTTTTACTGAAGAGGAAACATACACGCATGAAAAAAATGTTAGGACAAGGGTGTGTTATGTGCCAGATTCCTAGAAGCAATTAATTTTATAGTATCGGAAATGGGTACAAATTAAGTAGGTAAAATGGAGAAGAGAGAGAACTTTTCCGATTAAACAATCTCTTCAATAATGCTGGACAATTAAAAATGAGCAAGGGTGATTTCTAGAGTTGTGGGTAAACCTTGACTGGAAAGGAAAAGTAACATGACATTCAAAGAACCAAAGAGTTGACATTTTTTTTCTATTGCAAAGTTTCAAAATAGGAACCAATATGAGTGAAAATGTTGGAAGGATCTGTACTTTCAGTTTTTAACATAACTTTTCAGTATTTTAAAAGTCTTACGTGCCCTTTGGCATTTCTTTTATTAAAATGAAAGTACCATATTGATATACATAAAAAGAGACTAGGAAATACACCAAATTTATCAGTAATTGATAGGATTATTAATATTTCATTTTCTTTGTGCTTTTTAGTTTCCCAAGCTTTCTACATTGACCCTATGTTATTAAAAATAAGGTAAAAATGTTAAACATTCTTCTTATATATCAAGGGCTATGATGTTCATTGAATGATAGGGATTGAACCTGTATTATACAGAGTCAGGATGTGAGAGGATAGAAAATGAAGGCTTACCACATAAATCTCAAATGAGTCTTCTGGAATTGTGAGTTTATATATATGAGGGGACCTCAAAAAGTTGATAGAAAAGTGAACTAAAGTATGAGTGCAAAAAAAAAAAAACAACCTTGAAATCCATCATAGTGTTTTCATAATGCATATTGTCTATGAACTTTTTAAAGACCCTATGTATTTAATACAACACTATGTCTGGGATGGACTGAAGACTCCATAGGTTCGCCCAACCATGGAATTTCCTCTTCCTGTCAGAACAAGAAAAAAATTTAAATGCATGTGCAGGGTTTACAAGGCACTAATGTGCAGCTAGTATAGAAACACCTTCGTATCTCAAATTATAAAATTTAGGCATTCCATGATGGCAATTAAAGGAGGTATAACTAAGGAGAGAATAAACAGGAAACTTGAAAAAGGTGAATGCTGGGACCAGCAGTTATCGTAATGGCTATGTCGCTGGACTCCCATGTAGTCGACCGCAGTTCGTGTCCTGGACCCGGTAGCTTAAAACTCACGCCGGGAGCGTGTGCGTGCGTGCTCAAGATCCTGAGAGGAGAATGGAGAAGGGATTGTGGTGTGGCCATCCCCCCTGGGGGGTGATTTCTCGCTTTCTGTCTCTGTGTCTCTGTCTGTCTGGCAAGTGCACGCACCGGAAAGAAAAAAAAAAATCTCCAGAAAAATAAGGTGAATGCTTATAGTTGTGAAAGAATGATATAGAACAATATTCTGTGGCTCAATGTCAGCACTTATTTGTGAAACAGAAAGAGAAATACCCTCCACAGAGTCTGGTCCCACTGTAATCTCTTTTCTTCAGGCTTAGAGCACCTTGTCCAGCATGACCTAAATGTAGGATCCATGGAAAGGCAAGCAAGATAAAACACACGAGACTAGCGATTTTTTTAAAGAGAGATTTTTGCTATAGGGCACATGCACATGCACATGCACTCCCCAGAGAGACAGAGACAGAAAGTGAGAAATCACCCCCCAACACATAACCTGAGGGGGCATGCCCATGCCACAATCCCTTCTCCTCCACTTTCTTCTCAGGATTTTGAGCACACACACACAAGTGCTCAGCACGAGTTTCAATTCTGGGACTGGAGCCTCAGTTAGCCATGTGGGAGTCCAGTGACATAACCATTATACCACCTGTTGGTCCCAACAAGCAATGATTCTTTTAAAAAATTTATTTATTTTACATTCTTTCATTGAACATCATCATAGCATATAATATGTGATTTCCCAACCACAACACACTGTAAAGTAGCTTAATCATACATGTTATCATGAACAAATAATTTTCCATTTCTTGTTTCTTGTATATGTATATTTTTTTCTCCGCTATTTCTAACCCTCTGCCGTTTCCCACCCTTCTCCCACACTGTCTCTGGTATCGGCAGTTGCTTTCCATTCCTTTTTAAAATTTTTTTCCCACATTTGATTGATTCACAAAATGTCTTAATTAATTGAAATACTTTCAATAGCGAGTTCAGCTAATATATACATAACTGTGAACACATTGACTTTAGGCATGAAACTCTGTGAGTAAAATGAATAAACTATGAAGTAGCACCTATCTGAGGCTATATAGCTTACTGTGGTCATAACACAGTATTTTTTAATAATTTTTTTTTATTTCAAGAAAGGCAGTTTTAGCTTAGCTTTAATAAATCAAAATCAAGAAACGTTAAGAGAACTTTGCTTAAGACTTAAAGCCAGGAAACTGGTTAGAATTCTGTTCGAACAATAGGTACATGGGCCTGTCCACAACTCAAGAGAAGACAAAAATCCTCAACTTGGGAAAACAAAGCATAGAAGAAGATCAGCAATGTTTTAGTCAAAAGTCATAAAATTCTATGTCACCAGTTCAAACTTGTGTACTTTATCTTCTGTTGTGGTCCAGTCTTTCCATTTAAATTCTGAAAGATGATGTTCAACTCTGGACTTGTCCCTACCATTAAACTGGCCATTTTCTTAGTTGTTTTTGAACTCTAATTTCTATGTGTCTGACTTTAGTTTTCCTGAGACAGCACTCCCTTCAGAACTTCTTGGAGAGCTGGTCTGGTGTTGGTAAATTCTTTCAGCTTTTTTCTGAGAATGTTCTTGTCTTTTCTTCCCATATGAAGGATAATCTTGCCAGGTATAGTATTCTCGGTTGAAATTGTTTTTCACTCAACACTTTGAGTATTTTTTCCCATTCTTTCCTTGCTCGCATTGTTTCTGATGAGAGGTTTGCTGTTAGCCTGATGGGATTCCTTTGTAGGTAAGTTGATGCTTCTCTCTTGGGATCTTAGTATCTTGTCTTTGTGGTTTTGGTCGATCTGGCTATGATATGCCTTGGAGAAGATCTTGGGTTAATTCTATTTGGAGTCCTTTGTGTTTCTTGGGTCTGGATCTTTGAATGTCTCTCTAGGTTTGAAAGTTTTCTTCCAGGATTTCATGTAATAATCAATGCCCTTATTAGTCTCTTCACCTTCTGGGATACCGATTATCCAGATATTTGGATGTTTAATGGTATCTACTATTTCTCATACATTATTCTCGTTATTTTGGGCTATTTTCTCAGTCTTTGTGGTGGATTTTACTAGTCTACTGAGTCTGTTTCTACATCTGAGATTTGATTTTCTGTATGAACCAGTCTGCTTTTAATACTTTCAAGGGAGGTTTTGACTTCCTGTGTTATAGCCTTCATCTCCAACAGTTCCATTTGATTCTCTTTTATGTTATGTATTTCCTCTTTCAGCTCTTCCAAGAACTTCCTCATCTCTGGAACTCATCAGCTCTTTTCTTCTGGAGTTCTTTTCTCTTCTTTTCCATCTGTGTTAGCTTTGTTACTATGAATACTCTAAATTCCTTACCAGGCATTTCTGCGAGTTCCATTGTACTTTCTGTGGATGAAGAGAAGTTATTCTTTTCCCTTGGGGAAGAGGTATTTTCTTGGTTTCTCATATTTCTTCTGTCTCTAGGTGATTTATAGTCACCTAATGGGTTGCTTCTTCCTAACTTCTAGAAGTTCAATATGAGTGATCAGAGGCACACAGGAAGAGGTGGTCTGCAAACTCTTTGCCTTTCCATTATTTTCCCTTTGTGTTGCAGATACAGTGGGAATTGAGGAATATGTTGACCCTAATAGTATTTGGATACTTGGCTACTTTTCACTTAGATCAGTCTAGACTCTGACTGCATGGAGGCTGAGCGGCAAAGTTATGCAATAAAAGAAAAAGGATAAGGAAATAGAAAAAGAGAGAAAGAAAAAAAAATAGAAAAAAACCCCAAAACCAAAAATTGTTTATTTATTTTAAAAAGCAAAAATTGAAAACTGCGTGGAATGCACTAGATCTCAGCTCTAACGGTGGACTCAGTCTTCTTCTGACCTGACCTTTTTTTCCTTTCTTAAATGGGAAAAGGTAAGGGGAGGGCATTATTACCAAGATAAAGGAGGATTTCAGAGCCAAGAAAATACTTTACCTTAAAAACTGAAAAATTTTTTAAAAATGAAAAGACAGAGACAGAAACAGACAGAGCAAGACAGAGAGAAAGATAGAAAGGGCTCAACCAGGGTGACTTCTCAGCAGAACATCTTCATTTATTCCCTCAAAGCACTAGATCTCAGCTCTCATGGTGGACTCAGTCTTCTCCTCCAAGCAATGATCTTTAATAGGGAGGCCAGGGGGCTCGCAGTCTCAGAGAAGTGAGGCCCAGACTGGCTGGTTCTCCTTATATTTATTAAGTAAGCAGGTACCAGAGGGGCAATAAGCATTTATTCAAGTTTTTGCAGCTGCTGAGATAGCAGGAAGAATGCCAGACAGTTAGGGAACACACCGACCTCTATATCCAGCTGATGTGGTCACGTGTTCCTATTTTCAGAACAGAATGAGCACGGTGTTCTGTGTTTTCTCACTCTGGTATTTATACATTAACCATCTCAAGGTCTGACTGCTTCGTGCCATTATAGCCCATTGGATTTGGGGCATTTGTATGTATCCCTGGCATGTTTCAGGCTGACCAGGCTGGGTATTCAAATTGGAGTTGCTATGTGGAATCCAGATTCTCTCTTTTTTTAAAAAAAATTTATTTAAAATAATTAATTTATTAAATCAATTCATTTTTTAAAATACATTTATTTTAAAATTTGATCAGAAACAGAGGGAAAGTAAGAAAGCAAGTCACCAGGTCCAGGACTCAAACCATGGTTCACCATGTGGGAGTCCAGCACCCTAACCACCATGCCACTTGTTAGCCCTTAAGCTTCTCTTGAGCAGTGCAGTACTGCTCCACCACAGAGCTGGCCCTGTATAGAAACTGTCTAAAATCAGACATTGCAATCTTACTTGAGATCATTTTAATGACTGGGCTCAAAGTGGAGTGTTGTCAGTGAACTTCCTGTAACCTTGACAGAACTCTAGAGTCAAAACTTGGCCTTGCTGCAGTGTGAGGCAGTAGCACAGTGCTCCATGACACCGGAAGCTGTGTCAGGGTTCAGTTCCCAAGTCAACTTTTATATGCTTGAAGGTACATGTGCCTGAGATGCTGGCTGCCTGAAGGGCTGGTAGGAAGGTTCACAGTGTGAAAACCTGTTGAGAGTGCTTCTCTCGCTCAGTAAATAAATAAGCTTTTTTTTTTTTTTTTTCCCTAAATCACAGTTTGGAATGAAGTAGGATATTAAACCCTAGAAGTTCTTCCAGTTCATCAAAAAAACTTTATCAAACTGCCAATAAAGGGAAAGATTTTGATATGTTTGTGTTTAGAACTATGTGTAGATCTCCTTTAAGGCTTTATAATGGCGGCTGAGTGGAGGCTGGAGTACAGGGATACCATTAAACAGTGGACAACTTTTCCTTTAAAATTAGATGCTGGCTTATTCTTTGCCTCCTAAATTAGTATATTTGCTTATGCTTTTCAGAAGTGGGTGCAGCAGCCTGAATGGGCCTCTATTTGCATGTGGTAAGCACCTTCCAGCAAGTAACCTTTGTGTTTAGCTGTGTCTGCTTCTCTTTGCTGTTACCAGCCAGAGCATACCTGTGCTTTTTCACACCCAGCACAAGGATTCTGAAGACAATTGGGTACAGAAAGTGAGGGATTGCTCAGAAGGAATGTACTTCATTTGGTTTCCTCTGGGCTTTTTTTTTTTTTAAGAATTATTTTATCTAATCTTATTCATCATTATTAGTTTTATAATTTGCCACAGAGAGAGAGAAAGTGAGAAAGCAGGCTACAAGGTTCGGGACTCAAACTGTGGCAGCCGTGTGGGAGTCCAGCGCCTTAACTACCATGCCACTTGCCAGCCTCTCCCTCTTGGCTTTTGTAAGCTTTGAAAGGTAAATATGTTACACTCTATATTCTAAAATTAGATTAATAAAGCAGTCTTTTATATTCTTTTCTCACTATAATTCATGGTAGAGCCAAAAAATTCTCTTAAATGTCATAGGCTTTAACTTACATCTCAGACCGAAGTTTAGTAAAACAGCAACGAAGTTAGAATGTTAGCACTAGGAATAACTTTACAGAGTTATTGTTCCAGCACTTTCTTTTCAGATGAAAACCATGTGAAGCCAGAGGTTAACAGAATTGCTTAAAAATACAAGTTAGACCATATATTTTATCGCCCATAGCTGGCATATATAGTTTTGCTCATAATAACTGTTGTAATAGAGGAAAAATTCCACGAGTTGCTTGCAATGAAAAAGTCACAGACATCAGGTACTCTGCTTACTGACTTATTCCATTCTAGAAGACAAAATAAAACAAAGAACACAGTTTTTTTTTCTTATGATGGAGAATTTTACTTCTAAGAAGGGCCAATTCTCAAGCATTTAGTTTCTAGTCAATCCTCTTTTTAAAATTACTTCTTCAAAATCCCCCCAAATAATAGAGATTTGCTAAAGACCCAACTAAGCCAAAGACCTATTGTTGAGTATTCTTATATATATCTGCAGCTACTTGCCTTTCTTTCTTGATTATATAGCTGCATGTTGTTTGCCTGTATTGCTCATTGTTTTTTGGGGGGAGTAGAGGTATTGAGGTTTGGTGTTTAAATGTGTAAAAACTTGGGACCAGAAGATGGTGTAATGGTTACGTCACTGGACTCCCATGTAGTCAACCACGGTTTGAGTCCTAGATCCAGCAGCTTAAAACTTATACTGGGGGCATGTGTATGTATGTGTGCCCAAAATCCTGAGAGGAGAATGGAAGAGAAGAGATTACAGTATGGCCATCCCCCTTTGGGGTGATTTCTTGCTTTCTGTCTCTCTACATCTCTCTGTCTCTCCACAGAGTGCATACACCCTACAGCAAAAATCTCTCTCTAAAAAAAAGGAAAACTTAATTTTTTTCCAGTTATTTCTCTTGAATTATTTTGTATTTTCTTCCACCAACCATTTGATGTCTTTTTTTTGGGGGGGGGAGAGATTTTCACTGTAGGGCGTGTGCGCTCGCCAGACAGACAGAGAGAGACATAGAGACAGAAAGCGAGAAATCACCCCCCAGGGGGGATGGTCACACCGCAATCCCTTCTCCTCCATTCTCCTCTCGGGATCTTGGGCACACACGCACATGCGCCCGGCGTGAGTTTTAAGCCACCGGGTCCGGGACACGAACCGCGGTCGACTACGTGGGAGTCCAGCGACATAGCCATTACGCTAACTGCTGATTCCCTGATGTCTTTTTTTGTAAACAGAAATTATTTTTCTCCTTTAGAGAAAGAAAATATGGCATATTACTTTCTCCAGTAGGTTCAAAAGAAGTTCTGTCTATAAAATAAATAAAAAGATCTACTTAAGAAAGAAAGATGTGTGTATATAAGGGAACACATATGCAAAAAAGATTGGCAGAAAATAAATTCAAATTTTAATAGTGATTATCACCAGGTAGTATAATTATTTATGACTCATTTATTTTTCATAACTTCCTTAATGAGCCCGTTCCATGTTATACACATTTTAAAAGAAGAAAGAAAAATGGCATACTTGTAAATCAGCAACCCTAGGCAACTCTTCCTTTCTTAAGTAACTATTTCTTATATCCTAAGTGCAGTCTTTCCTCCGACTAGATAATGTTGCTTTCAGCACAGGAAAGAGGGTAAAGGGATGATAGTAATGTGAAATCAGAGCAGAGAGCTTTGCCAGATACTTCGAAAAGCTTCAGCATCTTCAAGTGTGCATGTTTGCATCTCTGCGAGGTCACTTCAAAGACTTGGAGCTGCAGATCTTACTCTGTTGAAATGAATCGGCTCCTTTCCAAACAACACTTAATTCGAAGAGTTCTCCAGTTGTATAGTACTTTGTTGAGTACTATAAAATATCCTGAAATAACAGGATATTTTAATTTAGATAACAGTATGGTCAATAACTGAACTACCCAGAATTGATACGCTGGCAATCACGATGTTGTGTACATATAAATGACAAATGCATTGGAAATGTTTATTGCTCTTTGTTTGGGTTGCTGTGTTAGGCAAAAGAAAGTCTGGCATAAATTGAGATGCTGAGTAATAAGAGAGGGATTAATGAGTAACTTGACCTTCTTTTGTCAAAGAAAAATTGTTGTTAGAGTTGAAGAACTGAATAAATAAAGCCTCATTGCAGAAAACATACAGGTCACTCATAGCACACACATGCACGAAAACATTTCCTCCAGTCTCTGCCAAACTATGGAGTGGCAGGAGCTGGTAGTTTGGAGGGGGTTCATCTTCCAAAGCACCCCTCCTCCTGTTATTGCAGGAATGAGCTAGGGTAGAACACTTGGCACAAGATATAGAATGCTTCCCTGGTCATGCAGGAGCCTCACCTCTTCAGGCCAGAAATACTGTCCTTTCAACACTGAACAGGCCCCCCATGAGGCCCACCAGATCACCTGAGCCCAGCGTGACAGCCACCAGATTCCTCCTCATTGTTCTCTTTGTATCTTACAAGACTTTCCAGCACCACCAGTACTGTTACCTGCAGTTCCTCCCAACAGTCTCACAGGGCCTTTGAAGTCTGCCTCTTTACCTGGATCACCCATTCTGCCCCATACCTGTCCCTGGCGCACTGGACTTGGTACAGACTCTACCTCACTCCTTGCCTACCGTGAGTTGCCACCAATGATTAACTTTGCTTCTGTAGAAATCTGAAATCAAAATTCCAATCTTAAAAAAAAAAATCTGAGATAAATATATTAAGGACTCCCTACCTTTATATTAAAAAGATAATCAACAGTCAGTGTATGCTCTTTGAGGTGTACTTTAATATAAAAAGGTGTTTCCAAAAAGTTAAAGATAAAGTCTTGACATATTTATTCTCAGGTACTTACTGAATAATAATTATTTGATTATACTCGGATATTTTGAGAAAATCTTAAAAAATGGTCTATAGTCACAAGACGTTAATAATTTAGCATGGGAAAGAAAGCACACATATGTATAGGAAAGAAAACACACCACAGAAATGACGTGTGTTACATTAAAATGACTATTTGAAGAATAAATGAACAAGTGAACAAATACTGTAAAATTAATAGAAAAAAATTACTATGAAATGTCAAATACTATGAGGTATTTATATTATTTTAATGATGGGAGAAATTTGTCGTTTGATAAAAAGAAAAAAAAAAGCAGGATTCAATATTGTGCCATCACAGTCTGAAGGTAGAACCCTGCAAATGTAAAATAATATGCAAAGAAGCTTAAGAACACTTAACTGGGTGGAGGTTATTGCAAGGTAATTTTTATATATTTTATATTTTTCTGTATTTTCTGTTTTCAAGAATGAGCATGTAGAACGCTTACATAAAATCGTTTATTTTAAACATAGTAGAGTCAGTTGTGAGTTTGGTGTGTGTGTCAAAGAGAGACATCATTTTGGACTGACGTCATTTGGGAGAGTTCCTTGGGTGAGCAAATTCTGAGTTGAATTAATGAAATTTAGAAAGAAAGAAAGGAGCAAAAGTGTTTTCTTAGACAGGTAACCTGGCAGGAATGAGTCAAATGATATTTTACGTGCTCTTGTGAAATATTTTACAAATGAACTCTTGTAAAAACAACTGTTGCCCTCACAGCCTGCTATTATTCTAATTATAGTAACAAGGCAACATAGCTGGCCTCTAGTCAGTTTTGCACACATTTTCCATTAAGCACCCCAAAATGAATGCTTCACTCAACCACCTTGAAGGCATAACTTAAAGCATTTCTGAAAGCACGATATACTCTGTCTTATTTTATCTTAAAATATCCTGTATTCCTTGTCTTTTGCTCTCTTATATATGAATTTGTGTTAATATCAAAATAATGCTATTTTCCCACTGAACTATTTGGATAATGTGGGTGGAAAAGAAACTCTCCTAGGAAGCCATGACATTTTTTAAAAAGAATTATTTATTTAATTTTAATTTGAGTATTATTATTTTTAATTTGACCACACACACACACACACACACACACACACACAGAGAGAGAGAAAGTGAGAAAGCAAGCTGCCAGGTCTGGGTCTTGAACCACAGTTGGCCATGTGGGAGTCTGATGTAGCTAACCACCATGCCACCTGCCGGTCCAAGAAGCATGCTATTTTTATCACATATTTAGTGTGCCCTTGGTATGCTAACCATGCATCACCAGGCATATGCAAAGGTCCATTTGAGAAGTATCGGACTAGATGATCGCTCAGGCTTTAAAAAGTAAAATGTCAATCCTGCATTTTTAAAAAAGCAATTCTTATTTCATTTTCTTTTATAAGCAGTAATTAAAAAAAAAAATAGGCTACATGACAGAGTGAAGTGGTTAGGAAGCCAAATAGTAAACAGAGGGCATTGCAAATTCATTTCTGCTATGGGAGAAAATAGGACATAACCCGTCATTAATTTAATTAGAAGATTTTGAATTGCTTGTACTTAAATCTTGGTCAACTGTAAAATGACTTTCCAGCCCCCTTACCTTTTCCTGGAGTCCCCCCCGCTGTCCTCCGTTGAATTTGGGATCTCTGGCCTGTGTGTAGACATAACATGCAAGGTTGAGTTTCAAGCATGTAGACATGAGAAAAAGGCAGGGCACACAGAAAAGAGATGGTGCTTTTGCTTCTGCTTTCTGCAGGAGTGACCTAATTGTTTCTGAAAATGCCCTGAGGACTAGGAAATTCTAGGATTTGGGGGCACAGCCAGTGGAAGCAAGGGCCAAATGAATTGCTCTGTATGATAAAAGAAAAATGGAATTTTGAATTTGCAAGCGTTCTAGGGTCAAAATGAGGTACCCTGAGAATGCAGGAAGATTTCAACAAAGCTGAAGAGTCTCTAATGAGAGAGGCATGGAAAAGGTTTAACATGGGACTAGCCAGTGGGAAATTGCTCCTAGTACCATATAGTTCAGAGGTCAGCAAACTCTTCCACTAAGAAACCAGAAAGGAAATATTTTTGACTTGGTTGGCCATGAAACATCCTGGTCTCTTACAGCTGATCAATTCTGCTGTTCTGGTGCTGAAGTGGCCATAGACAAAAGATGAGGCTATGCCCTCGGAATGCTTTATTTACAAAAACAAGTGGCAGCTGCATTTAGCCCCCGGATCATAGTCTTCAGATCCTTAGTATAACTGGTTACTTTTTATTCAGCGATTTTTTTAGAGGTTTTTTTCTTTCTTTTTGTTTGTTTGTTTGTTTGTTTTGCCTTAGAGTGGAGAGAGATAGCCCAGAGAGAAAGAGAGAGAGAGAGAGAGAGAGAGAGAGAGAGAGAGAAGCAGAGACAGTGAGAGGGAAAGTGGGAAATCATCCCCTAAGGGGGGTAGTCATGCTGCAATATCTTCTCCTCCACTCTTTTCTCAGGATCTTGAGCATGCACACACATGTGCTCGGTGTGATTTTCAAGCCACTGGGTCTGGAACTTGAACTGCCGTCGGCCATGGGAGAGTCCAGCAACATAACTGCGATGACATCTGCTGGCCCCCATTCATGGATTTCTACTATTAAGCTTTATATGATGTGCCACTTTCAGTTCTGCAATTCCTCTTTTCACTCCGAACTTTTAGGAGGCACTTACTATGCAATGGCTTGTGGTAAAGCTGCTTCGAGCAGATGGACTCAAGAGACACATATGGTAATAAGACCAGGTAGAGGGAAAAGGCAACGGCAGTTATAGGAGACCAAGCGAGGTAGAGAATCCAGCGGAAGTCAGAAATCGGGGGGAAAGACAAAGTCTCCAGAGGCCCTGTGAGAGACCCCACACATTTAAGGGAAACTTCAAGACCAGAGCTACACCCATGCAGCAAATGCTTGGGTTCCACAAGAAAAAGAAAAACATACTACTTCTCAAAAGTTCCTAGTATAAATACACGAAAATAGGAGTGCTTTGAAAAAACAGCACCTGTGCACAGCAATGGAAGAGTCAGTACCCCAAATCACTAGCAATAACAATAATCCCCCCCCAAAATAGGAGTTTTCAAATCCCAAAGTATTTCCTAACTTTTAACTTTATGGGTATCAGTGACCTATAGAGAGCAATTATCTCATTTAAATCTCATTTCTATTTTTTTTTTTTTTTGGAGGGGTTTTTTTTTTTTTTTTTTTTTTTTTTTGGGGGGGTTTTTTTTTTTTTTTTTTTTTCGCTATAGGGCGTGTGCGCTCGCCAGACAGACAGAGAGAGACATAGAGACAGAAAGCGAGAAATCACCCCCCAGGGGGGATGGCCACGCCGCAATCCCTTCTCCTCCATTCTCCTCTCGGGATCTTGGGCACGCACGCACACACGCCTGGCGTGAGTTTAAGCCACAGGGTCTGGGACACGAACCGCAGTCGACTACGTGGGAGTCCAGCAACATAGCCATTATGCTAACTGCTGGTTCCCTCATTTCTATTTTTGATACTGAAGTTGTTAAATACATTTGAATCCACTAAATATGTAAGTACCTGCTATTTTCCTGATTTGTTGGTAGAGTTTGAGGATGAACACAACTGCCTTCTTGAGGATGTAAATGGATCATCACTTCTTTATATTTTCCCTTGGTATTATTGCTAATTGGCAAAGGAGGGGGAAAAAAGCAAAACTATCTTAATCATAGAAGTCTAAGCTTTAAAATACACTAATAACTTTTATTTTGAAGTTTAATGTATAATTTGCCTTGAAGTTCATGATGTATTTACAAGATGTTGAAAGGGAAAAACAACCAAATATCATCTTTCAATACTAACTAAAAACTTAGATTAGAAATTAATACGAAAACCACCCTCTATATTGTATCAGAAGACTCAAATTATTTATAGACAGATTTCCATATCCTAAAACAATACACTAGTTCTAAAGCAATTTTTTATTTGTAAGTATAGCTCACCACAAGATATTAAAACTTAAGTATATTTGTGTGCATTTATGTGTGTGTGTACTTATTAATGATATGGCTTTGTGCTTTAATCTTACACAAGACTTTCTTTTTCTCCTACAATGAAGAGACGTGTTTTCTATACAAGTAATACTCATAGTTAGGAGAGAAGCAGTAGCTGTCACAATTGATACTAAAAAAGGAAGTATTTAATCTTTTTTTAAGTTTATTTCTTCCATTAGAGAAGGAGACAGAAAGATAGAGTAACGGACATTCTGAAGAGGGCCTTCATGCCATGATCCTCCCCAGACTTATCCAGCCTGGATCGCAGGCATGCATGTACTTGGTGTGCTCAGGGAGGTTGCAGGACACAAACCGAGAGCCTTTCCCATGCTGCATTAACTCTGCACCATTTTCTAATAAGAAGTATTTTATGACATTCATCATAAGCAAGGAACTGTGTTAAATGGAGTAGGAACTATTATTATCTCCATTTCACAGGCAAGGAAAATGAAGTTTAGAGAGGATACGTATCTGTATGAGGGTCTCAGAGCTCATTAGTGACTGTGAACACTGACCTTACTGATTGGGAAGCCCAGGTCTGCTGTACTACCTCTTTGGGAGTTTTTGTTTGGTTGTTCATTTAAAACAATTATTTTATTTAACTTTATTTATTTATTTTAATTTGACCAGAGAGAGATGGAGTGAGAGAGAGAGAGGGACAGTGAGAAAGCAAGCTGCCAGGTATGGAACTCAAACTACAGTCTGCTGTGTGGGAATCCAGCTCCTTTAACCACCATGGCACCTGCTGGCCTCTGGGAGTTATTTAATAAGCACTTTATTTTACATAAATGAAAATGATAATATAATACCAGAACCTTCAGGTTTTATGTATGAGTTGATACTAGAGATCTGAGAGCAAGGTAGCTCACTCCAGCACTCACCATGGAAACTAGGAAGACCACAGCACTTGAGACAAAGAAGACTGAGTCAGGGATCAGAGTCTTCATAGGATGAAGAGGGCAGATGTGAGATACATCTGTGTGGCCAGGTGGCTTGGGCTTCCCAGTAGGGGAGATTTAGTGGTTAGATGAGTAACCGTCTAAAAGTGGTCCTGGGGCAGGAGTGGCACATGGGTGTGAGAGAATACGACCTCAGTGAGTGTATGTTGAATGAATGACTATCTGGCTGATTGCTGACGCAGGGAACCTTTACAGAAATGACCTTCATAGTTTTGTCACTCAAAGTATACCAGTGACAGTTTTAAAGTCTTATCTGACTATGGACAAGAAGGATTTTTTTTTTTATAGAAATGGAAGTGGGTTAGAGGCAGTAACATGAGGCCCAAAAAAATGGGCTCTGAATGGAGAAGGCTAAATAGCATTCGTCAGTGATCAGTGTGTGACTTATCTTGTGTAACATTTCTCATTAAATGATTGTCACAGTAAATATACAGTAAAGTGTCAAAATGTCCAGATAATAGTATTTTTTCATTAGTGCAATTTTCAGTCAATGAGGTTAAATCACAGGAAGAACTTACAGATCTGTGGGAATGGATAGAAAGGTTTTCACTAAATCTCAATATGGAGGGATGCCCACAAAGAAATATGTCAATTTTATTATAGGCTAAAAATTCAGAATTTAGAGGTAAAAAGAAAAGGTTTCATTATTTTCTTGAAAGAAAATAGTTTAATATGCCAGAATAGTTAAGGCAAATTCAGTAAAATGTAGGAGATAAAGGAATATTTTTAAAAGAGAGAGAGAGAGAATTATTGGGTTGTCAGAAAAGTCATGATGCATTTTTGCATAGAAAAATATGTCATGATTTTTCTGACAACCCAATGGAAGCCCTGACTTCTTTAATGCAGCCTCAGTTAAAATATTAACTTACAGATTATAGTGGTATTTAATGAAATACTTTGAGGAAAAAATGAATTCACATAGTACTTTTTTAAAAAAGAATGATTTACTTACTTCCATTTATTCTTCTTATTTTTTATTTTGATAGAGAGATACAGAGAGAGAAGGAAAGTGAGAAAGTCAGCTGCCAGGTCTAGGATATGAACCGTGGTCAGCCATGTGGGAGTCTAAAGGACTAACCACCACATCACCTGTCGGCCCCAGTACTTTTTCAAATGTAGAGTATCAGGCTACTTTACTTTTCTTATGGTAATAAAAAAAGACATAGAATACATGTCAATCCACACAATAAAGAGCACATTTGTTAGGAAAGATACATTTTTAATTTAAGCTTAAATCTCTATAAATTACCTTGTTTTAAATAATTATTTTTATTTAATTTTAGTTATTATTATTTTTTAACTTGATCAGAGAGAGAGAGAGAGAGAGAGAAGAAAAGTGAAAAAACAAGCCACCAGGTCCGGGACTCGCATCATGGTTGAACCACCAGGTCACCTGCCAGTCCCTAAATTCTCTATTTTATTATAAAACCGAGTTCCTGACTACATCACTTGCAAGAAGGTCTACTATGACAATCTACTTAAATAGCTGATTGGCATCCATGTGAAATATTAAAACTTCAATTTCTGTAAAATTTTGATACAGGATGCTGCATTTGTTTTTAATGTTTGCTACAGGAAACTGTTGGATTAAGATAATTAACCCTGTTTCTCATGGGTATAGAATTTGCTCATCAGCCTTATTTCATTGGTCTCATTAACTCTGATCTCACTAATTTTGCTATAGTTATTTAGATCAACTAGTATGAAAGCTATGATTGTTCTCTTCTCTGTCAAAAACTTTATCTAGGCCTTAGTCTTTGCAAGGTTTTTTCAAGTTGAGAAAGTAAATGGGGTCCAGCTGTAGTGGTATACACTTCTAAGACAGGTGCTTTCTCTACAGGATCGGAGAAAGCTATACTCTATATACGGGAAACCCCTGGTTTGACTTCTGTTCCAACTTAAGACTACCTGTGGTGGTATGTATCTGTGGTCCTAACAACTCAGGAGGCTAAGATAAGAGAATTGCAGTGAGTAAGACACCCTGTTTCTTGTTTTTTTTTTTTTTTTTTTTTTTAAGTAAATAGTATTTGCAAAAAAAAAATTTTATACAAATATTTATTTATTTAATTTTATTTATTATTATTATTTTTTTAATTTGACAAGAGGAGAGAGAGAGCGTGTGTGCAAGCCGCCAGGTCAGAGACTTGAAGTGTGGCTGGCCTTGTGAGAGTCTAGCACCTTAACCACCATGCCACCTCCTAGCCCCAAAAGATTTGATTTAAAAAAAAAAAAATGAATGTAAAGTTTCAATTCTTCCGCACTAGGAGATGGTGCCAATGAATACACGATCTAACTGCTAATGCCATGATAGGATCTGGATTTAGGGGTCAGTGTCTGGCATGTTTCAGCAAAACTAGGGTTATCAACAGGTTCATCGACACCTTTTAAAATATTCCTTCTATTTCCCTTCTGTGTAAAACTCAATTCCTTCTTAAAATGTTGTATTTAAAAAGGTTTTGTTTTTTTTTGTTTTGTTTTGTTTTTGGCAGAGGGCATGTGCATTTTCCAAAGGAGAGAGAGAGAGAGAGAAAGCGAGGAAGCACTCCTCACGGGGAACAGTCACCCTGCAATCTCTTCCTCTCTCTCTCTTTAGGATTTTGGGCAAGCAAGCATATGCATCCAGCATGTTTCTCAAGCTGCCAGGTCCAGGTCTTGAACTGGCAATTTAAATAATATTTTTCCTTCATTAAAATAGTATAAATGCTTATAGTATTTGGCATTGCATCGTCATATCTCTATAGTATTCGTTTGCTCATTAGTCTTTAAACATTCATTATAAGGTAACACACTGTACATTGTGCCTGGGGTCTGTTTTCTTTCCTGTTTTTATATGTTTTTTTTTTTCCATGCTAAATTATTAACTTCTTGTGAGTAGAAACCATTTTTTATTTAAAACCATTTCTCAAAATTTCTGAGTATAATCAAATAAGAATTACTCAGTAAATATATGAGAATAAATTTATTACTCACACATGTGTGAATCCAGTGACCTTTACTACCACACCACCAGCTGGTCCAAATGCTCTATTTTAAAAAAATGTTCTCTATATCATATATATTTCCTTTAGTATGGATACTTCTCTATCTATAATGTGTGTCAAGGGCCATCTTGGTAAGAATCACATCTGTTTATGTAGTAGTGTTTTTTTTTAAGAATTACTTTATTTAACTTTATTTATCCATTTATTTATTTATTTTTTAATTTGACCAGAGAGGGACAGAGTGATAGAAAGAGAGAGAGAGAGAGAGAGAGAGAGAGAGAGAGAGAGAGAGAGAGAGAGAGAGAGAGAGAGAGAGAGAGAGAGAGAGAGAGAGAGAGAGAGAGAGAGAGAGAGAGAGAGAGAGAGAGAGAGAGAGAGAGAGAGAGAGAGAGAGAGAGAGAGAGAGAGAGAGAGAGAGAGAGAGAGAGAGAGAGAGAGAGAGAGAGAGAGAGAGAGAGAGAGAGAGAGAGAGAGAGAGAGAGAGAGAGAGAGAGAGAGAGAGAGAGAGAGAGAGAGAGAGAGAGAGAGAGAGAGAGAGAGAGAGAGAGAGAGAGAGAGAGAGAGAGAGAGAGAGAGAGAGAGAGAGAGAGAGAGAGAGAGAGAGAAGTGAGAAAGCAAGCAACCAGGTCTAGGACTTGAACCACGGTCAGCCATGTGGGAGTTCAGCACCCTTAACCCCCACACTACTTGCTGATCCCAGGATTTTTTTTTCAAGGTTTTATTTCCAAGATCAAGTTCAATTTAAATTTTCTAGGAGAATATGGCTGTACTTACTCCTTTTTATGCTTTTGAATTATCCAACAGAGAGTGATGATGAATAAGATAAAGAAGCTTATCCCAAACAAAATGCCTAGACAGCAAAATAAAGTAATTAAATGCATGGAAATATAACCCACAGGTTTAATACTTTATCTCACTATCTAGTCCTGATACTTAGATGTAACTGTTAGTTCTGCTCTGCTCTGGGTGTAATACAGAGCATTCATCTTATTACCACAACTGCTCTTACTACAGAGCAGTTTTGTAACTGGTGGTCCAACAAACAGCAGATGCTCTATATAGTAGAAATTCTCTTGGAAGAAAACTCTGTTACAAAACTCTTTTTTAAAAAAAGAATTACTTATTTAATTTTATTATTACTATTATTATTGCTACAGGGCATGTGTGCTCACCAGAGAGAGAAAGAGTGAAAATGAGAAAGCAAGTTACCAGGTCTGGGACTTGAACTGCGATCAGCCACGTGGTAGTCTAGTGCCTTAACCACCATACATGCCACCTGCTGGCTCCAAAACTATTCTTCCTATTCTTATATAGCAGATCACAGACATTGGCTCAGAAAACTGATCTTGTGGCTTTCAACTTGTGCAAATGGGCAATACTATCAACTGGAAGCATATTCCCAAGTCAAAAACCAAAGAGAAAATTGCATTGTTCAAACACATTGAAATAGACAGTAGAAAATTTTAGAAAATTTATTATAGGACATGTGTGCTCGCAGAGACAGAGAGAGAGAGGAAAAGAGAGAAAGGGAAAGAAAAAGTACCCCCTGGGGGAATGGCCACACGACGGTCTCTTTTCCAGTCTCCTCTAGGGATTTCAGGCATGCGTGAACACACATCCGCTGGGGTTTTCAAGCTGCCGGGTTTGGAACTCTAGCCACACCTCTGTGGAATTCAGCCACCTTAACTGCCATGCCACTGGATAGCCCACGAAATAAAGAGTTTTTAACACTGGAGGATGATTATTCATTTGCAATGGCTCAGAGACAGTAAAGAATCTTTGATGAAGGATACTTCATATGCATATCTAGATATCAGATATGCTCACCCTGGCCTGAACTTATCATTATTTACTTTCTAACTGAATTTTCAGAACAAGATATTTTGATCTTTCTTTTTATATTTCATTCATTGCAAGTGGATACTTACCCTTAGAGATGCTAGAATTCCTCAGCAAACCCTTCATGAAACTTACCAACTATGAGAGTGTTACGTGAACCTAAGAAGGAAACAAAAGGCACCAAAACATCAGTCTGGGCACACAGTCTCAGCCCATGACAGTTCATCCCAATTTTTTCCGGTACTCAGTCTGATTTTTTTTTTCCTAATGTAAAAGCTCCTGGGCCCAGCCACAGTAGCACTCATAGGTAGACACTGCTACTGGGCAGCAAGTTCCCATGGGAGGCCTGGGCTTGAGTCTCCAGCTCACCCTAAACATGCAGCGTGTGGTGGTGCTGTGCATTTGTGACCCCAGTGACACAAGGAGACTCACTCATTCTCTCTCTCTCTCTCTTTCTCCCTCTCCCTCTCTTTTAATAGTTTTTGCTACAGGGCACATGCACTCATAAGACAGAGAGAGAGAGAGAGGGAGAGAAAGTGAGAAACCCCTTTTATTGCATTTTCCAGAATTTTGGACCTGTGTGCACATGTGTCCACATGCTTTGCAAGCTGCTGGGTCCAAGATTTGAACCACACAGCTGGTCATGTGGGATCTAGCTGCATCTGTTGGCCCATAGTAAGACTCTTAAATAAAAGCTCATGGTTTCACACACAATCTTATTTTATCTCATGCACTCAGTGAAGATTTTCTTTTTTAAAAGCAATGTTTTTCACATAAAAGTAAATAATTACAGCAGAAAATTTATAAACAAAAGAATAATACAGTCATGTAACAATGTAACATTTTGGTCAACAGCAGACCACGTATAATGGTCATGATATAAGATTTTGATAGGCTATGCCATATAGCCTAGGCATGTAGTAGACTATAACATCTGTGTTTGTGCAGTTATATTTTCTCACATTCACTCAATGATGAAATCATCTAAAGACTCATTTCTCAGAACAAACACCCGAATTATGGGTGATACTGTGACAGTATCACCCATAATTCTAACACCCCAAAATGTTATAGTAATTCCTGTCTAGTACATTTTTCTACACATCCAAGTTTTTACATGCTTTTTAATATGAATGCAAATTATACCAGAGGCAAATTAATATACTCTATTCTAGTGGGTATATCATCGTGAATTAAATAATTTCTATGGTATATTTAAGTTGTTTCTAGTTTTCTTTGTCATTAAATCCTTAACAATGCGTTAAATATCTTTACATTTTAAATTATTTCACTAAATTGGATTGCCAGGCAGACTAATTGGCTTGAATATTTGTATTATTCTCTATATACACTGTACAATAGGTTTTCATAAGGGTTTCTGCCAGTTCACAATGGTGCCTTCAGTATATGAGAATATCAGTTCCATCACATCCTTCCTTTTTACTGAGTGCTCACATTAAACAACTCTTTGTTGTCATTAATGTGCAAAGGAAAAATGGTACTTTGTTTTTTTCTTTTGCACACCTTCAGTTCTAGTGAGGTTAAATAGAATAATTTCCATATAGTATGTGCCAAGGTAAAATATATTGCATCCTTTCTTCAAATCCTTCATTCTAAGATAGTTTTTGCATTTCCCTGCTCCTCTTGCATATCTCTGTCTTGTTGAACTGGACAGAACTGAAGAAGCTCCATCTACCTAAGAAACAGCATGGAGACTGTTGCGAACTGAGAAGACCTAGACAGTGAGGGGAATAGTAGGAGACCAGTGAGTCAACTTGTGCTGGAGCCTCTTAGATTCAGTCTGGGTAGAAGACAGAAAAGCTAGTTTCTAGGGAAGTAGCTGCTCTAATGGATGAAACCCTAGGGGACAGAAATGGGCAAAGTGAATTTTAGATTTTTTTTTAATGAGTGTCACCTAGAATAATCCTTCTCCACACCTCTCTGGGAGATTCCAGTAAAGTCTTTCTTAGTTGTTGCACATTTCCTGGAATTGGACGTAGTTGTCTTGCCTGTAACACCATGCTTATGTTTGTCTTGAAATGGCACAGTTAAATATGGTTTATATGTGCTAATTCTGGTTTTACAGGGAAGCTCAAGGTCACCCCCTACTGTGAGGAAGACCTGGGAATTCCAAGAAATTCTTCATTCTCTGATGCTAGGACCCAAAGGTCCTTTCCCTATTTGGATTGCTATTTTTCTCTCAATATTCCCTGTGGAGTACTATTCCCTAATTTACTCCCCAGCATTTTTTTTTTTTTAGGAAGGTCTAGGACTAGTATCTTGAGCAATCAACCCATCTGGCCTGAGCTTTAAGAGAAAACACTGTTTTTTGTTCTTTATTTTCTGTGATCTGATCTGGAGGTCTGGGGGAGAAATGTCTGGGGAAAGGTGTGTGAAGAGAGAAAGGTTGGTCTTACTGTCATTGCTGTGGGTTCTTTGGGAAGAGGTGGGATCCATATTGTACTCCTCAGTGCCTAGCATATGCCACAGACATCACAGCAAAGTTGATGGCAGGAAGGCTGAATGGATGTACAATACGATGACCAGAAAGAACCTTCTTGCCCTGCTCCTGTACTTACGAGATGCACACGTGGCCAGAGGGGGCTCCCATCTGTCACCCTCCTGGCACTGGCTTTGGGGACTGCCTTCCAGAGTATACCCGTCCTCACACTCCAAAGTAACATTATCTCCATAGTGATACACTTTTCTCATTTTCAAATCTCTCCAAATTCCATTCATAAATGGTGGGAGGTAGCATTTTACCTCTGAAATGAAAAACATCACAAAAAAGGGATATCTTATTATTAATTGTTAGTGAAAATGATCACAATAAAGAGATCTGTGACCCCAAACCCACTTTGCCCTTGGTAAAGATAAGGCAATTTTTCAGTGAAGAATTATTAATTCCCCCTCCAACACTTGGCGAGTCACAATTCTCTTTTTCATTTCTTACATAAAGTAGGGAACACAGAGTGTATCATACATCTGCTTTGGATTAACAGCTCTGCACCTAGAGAGCCATGGCAAGTTAGGAGTTAGGCCAACCACAGTCTAGCCATGGATCACTTGGGTGATACCATAAGGAGACAGGCGTATCATGTTAACTTTCTCTGGTATTTTTGCTCTTGATTAAATGCACATTTCTGGCCCACGTCTATATAGATGGATAAAGAAGTTAGTAAATCACAACGTAGAATTTAAAATATTTTCTCCTTAATTTACTTGATCTCATATAACTCATCTTTTCTTTTGTTTTCTTTTTTCTTCCCAACTTCCTTTTTTCTGCCCGGTATTTCCTTCAACTTTAAGCAATGATTACTTTTCTGTTTGAACAGTCTCAAAATTAGCCTAAAATCTTTTTTTCTCTTTGTGGAAACCAACAAAGTAAAGCCTTCTTTTCCTTTTTCTTTTTTAATGCCACATGGTGCATGCAAATGCACAAGAGAAAGAAGAAAAGTATCACTGTAAAACAAGCTTGAAGATGTCATTAAGACAAAATGAAAGTTTATCAATGAAAAGAAAGCAGCTGATAAGAGAATAGAAGAGTACTTTTTTATTTTCAGGAGAACTTGCCCAGAGGAAGTTCTCTGAATCTTCGTCCTTCTTTATGTAACTAAAACTGGGAGGGATAAACTTTCAGGTGTCTGCAGAGCTACCTGAAAGTGGCTATTTTGTGTAACTTATCCTTTCTAAAAATTGCCTGAAGACAGGACCAGCAGATGACATAATGGTTATGTTGCTGGACTCCCACATAGCTGGTTCAAAGCCCAGACCTTGAAACGACTTGAAACTCATGCCAGGCACGTGTGCATGCGTGCCCAAAATCCTGAGAGAAGAATGGAGAAGGGATTGTGGTGTGGCCATTCCCCCTGGGGGCTGATTTCTCACTTTCTGTCTTTGTCTCTTTGTCTCTGTGGCAAGTGCATGTGCCCTAGAGCAAAAATCTCTCTAAAAATGAATGAATGAATGAATAAATAAATTGCCTGAAGGCACATACACTTGTCAGAAAGAGACATAGAGATATATAGAAAGAAAGGGAATAAAGCACCCCCAATGGGGAGTGGTCACACTGTAATCTCTTCTCCTTAATTTCTCCATCCCACCAGGATTTTCAACACCTATATGCATGTGTCCACTGTTTTTTCTTTTATTTTCCTTTTTTTTTTTTTTTTGGAGAGGTTTTTGCTATAGGACGCATGTGCTCGTCAGAAAGACAGAGAGAGACAAAGAGATAGAAAGCAAAAAATCACCCCCCAGGGGGTAGGGCCACACCACAATCCCTTCTCCTCCATTCTCCTCTCGGGATCTTGGGCACGCATACACACTCGCCCGGCGTGAGTTTAAGCCACCAGGTCTGGGACTTGAACCACAGTTGACTAGATGGGAGCTTAGTGACACAGTCATTATACCAACTGCTGGTCCCCCCCACTGTGGTTTTTAAATGCTGGGAAGGGGACTTGAACTGTGGTTGACCATGAGGTATCTGGTTCTCTTAACAAATAGGCTACATGTCTATTTGCACAACATGTCCATTGCACAACCTATTCTTGCAAATAAACACAAGAGAGTCATTACCATCTCTGCGGTGGATGTCACTTTTTCTCTCTCTGAAATGGGAGAGTGTGGGACCAGCAGTTGGCATAATGGCTCTGTTGCTGGACTCCCAGGTAGTCGACCATGGTTCGAGTCCCAGGTGTGTGTGTGTGTGCATGCCCAAGATCCTGAAAGAAGAATGGAGGAGGAGAAGGAATTGTGGTGTGGCCATTCCCCCGGGGTGTGATTTCTTGCTTTCTGTCTCTCTGTCTCTTTCTGTCTTTCTGGCGAGCACATGCGCCCTGTAGCAAAAACCTCTCAAAAAAAACCCAAAAAACAAAAAACAAAAAAAAAGACATGGCATTCAAGTTTCAGTGCAAAAAATAATAAAAAAAAAATAAAATGGGAGATTGCTATGATTAGACTGTGTCTACCCCGCCCCCTCCCCCAATTCAGGTGCTGCAATTTGGTTGTGATGATATTAAGAGGGTAAAAACTTATTCTGGCTATGGTACTGAAGTGAGGCCTTTGGAAGGAGATTAGGATTAAAGTACTCAGGGCCAGATCCCATTATTAACTCCTGGTTTTTTTTTAAAGAGTGAGACTAGAACAGAGACACATGCTCTGTTCCATGGTTGCTCTATCCTGCCTTCTGTATGTGACCTACCATCAAGAGGACCCTTACCAGATACAGCCCCTAGAAGCTAGTTCTCCAAACCATGAGCTGAATGAACGTTTACTCTTAAATTACCCAGACTCAGGTATTTTCTGTTATTAGCAACAAGAAGGACTAGAACAGTGGATTAGGAGAACCCAAAGGATTTCTGAGACTTTCAGGAGAGAGGTCCCTATGAGCCCCAAGATCCTTTTGATATGTTAAGTAAAAGCCACATAAAATTGGTACTTGATATCTACTGTATTACCAGAAATTCCACTTTCTTGGGAGAGTTGAAGATCCTTGGCTAGCTGTCCTTCCCTACCTTTTGTTCTGTTTTTCTCCTCCTCCATGGATACTCATTTAACTATTTTCTCAGCCCTATTAAATCACCCAGATGTAGCCTCATTGATGAATTTTCCATGATGACCCAGCAAGAAAAAGAAAAACCAAGATGGACCAGCAGATGGTACAATGGCTACATTGCTGGATTCCCACATAGTCGACTGTGGTTTGAGTCCCAGACCCGGCAGCTTAAAACTCATGCTGGGCATGTGTGAATGCATGCCCAAGACTCCAAGAGGAGAATGGAGGATTGTGATGTGACATGAGAATGGAGGATTTGGATGGGACACCCCCCCTGGGGGGGGGGGTGATTTTTCATTTTTTATATCTCTAACCCTCTCCATCTGTCCAAAGAGAGGAGCACCCTAGAGCAAAAAGTATCTCTGAAAAAAATGAAATGGGGCTGGCAGGTGGCATGGTGGTTAAGGGCGCTGAACTCCTACATGGCGGACTTTGATTCTAGTTCCGGACCTGGCAGTTTGCTTTCTCACTTTCCCTCCCTTGCTTTGTCCCTCTCTGGTCAACTTAAAATAAATAAATAAAGTTACATAAAATAATTCTTTTTAAAAAAAGAGAAAGAAATATTGGGAAATGAGATACCTTTGCAATAATGATCAAGTGGGCTCCAGGTTCCCTGGTCGGTACAGAAAATGAAGGCCTTTCCCACCAGCAGGTAACCAGGGTCACAAGTGTAGTTGACCTTCATCCCAGGAAGATACAGAGACACATGCCCTCCAGTGGTATACCCGTTTCGGATCTTGGGTGGAAGTGGGCATGCTAAGAACAAGTTCCCGCACAGACAAAAGAAAAGCCATAAAGGTAAACACATGTGTGAATATACCAACACATCCCATAATATCTCCAGCTATTAGAGGCACAATGGAGACCTGAGGCAGGCAGGTTACAAGTCACTGACTCTTAATTGCTCATTGGAGGGCTGATTCTTTAACCTAGACCTCTCGGCTTTTAAACAGTCCTCTGTATTCTCTACCTACAGACCGTATTGGATAGGAGTACCACAGTGACCTATGTGCTACCGATTCAAAACTGTTCTATCTTTCCTGGAGGATGGTGTGTATGTGGGCAATCCCAGCTACAAGTGAGCCTATTATGGTCAGGTACTATCATTTCAGGCCAGACTAACATGGGAAAGGAATGAGTTACAGAGGTGATGAGAAAAACCTTAAACTCCACTTCTAGGACATCCTGAGGTCCCTGTGTTAACGGTGAAGTGAAAGACCAACCGAATGTAATCAATGGCTTAAATAAAACACTCAAAAGTAGCAAAAGGAGTGTAAATACCTAAATCTGAGTTTCTTTAATTACTTCCATAGCATCATCAATTTTGAAGTGGATTATCCCATTCACATGGACTTCTTGCTCAGCACGTCCATCCATCTACTATTAGTATAAAGACAACTAGAAGTAGAGGTGGCATACCAGAGTATTGTTTTTGGCATGTGTTTGTATTTTGAAAATATTGTCCCAAAATCTGGACCTCATTGATTCTTTCCACTCTTTATCACTTCCTCTTTACCAGCTCACCCTCCTTACCTCACAGGAAAAAGCATCAGAAGACCAGCAATTGGGACACAGCAGGACACAACCAGAACTCAACTGTCATTCACCGGGAGGTATCTCTGTCTCTGACATTCATAGCAAAGTGATTTTCACAAGCAAAACACCTGTCACTGTAGAAATATGGAGGCTCTCACCTAGATCTTCTGAACCCATTTAGGATGAGGAAGTGAGCACTGACCAGCAGGAGCAGAGAGTTCACAGCGAGGGGCAGGGCCGCTCCACATCCCATTCCCTTGATGGTCACGTGTACAGCGGATGATGCTCTCCCCAATAAGATTGAAGGTCCTCCCTGTGTGCGGGTCATGGTCACATGTGTAAGACACTTCTTTTCCATAGGGAATATCTCCCAGAGGAGGTCCTGTATGTCTCCCATTAAAAATAGCTGGAGGATTTGGACAAAAGATTCCTAGAAGAAAAACAAGACTTCTAAGTTCTACTAGAGTTTCAATCAAGGTAACTATTCCATAATGTTGCCTTGTGACTGTGCTATGAATGAATTTTATTTTCTTTTAGAAAGAACATAATTAAAAATTTAAATCTATAAGACTTTTGCTGAGAATGAACTAACTGATGTGAGACTTAAAATTTATTTGAAAAGCTTAAAAGACAGAGTTTTTAGATCACCCCGGTAGCTAAATTTATAAAGAATTTGAAAAGCAATTAACATTTTAAACAACTATTTGATTGTCAGCTTTGTATCAGGCATGTAGGAGTCATGGGCTGACAACGGTGTACAAGATAGAGAAGGTTTTGGGCCTCAGTGAACTTAAGTTACAGGGAAATCTTCGAGACGTTGTCGAACATGTACTATCATCCTCAGCAGACTGTTAACAGCACTAATATCACATAACCAATAGTGTCATAAGAATGCATGGATAACCACAGAGCTCTTTATACCCAGAGTGATGGCTCCAGATAACAATTTCTTTCTTTTGTTTTATCTTTTACCCAATCTATTGGCTGTCATTTCTTTCTGATTTTTTTTTTAAGTAAGGAGACAACTCCCATAGGGCATGGTCACACTGCAGTCCCTTCTTTCCATTTCTCCTCTTGGGATTCTGGCACACACACAGGCACCCAGTATGTTTCTCAAGTTGCTGGGTCTAGAACTCAACTGGGAAGTCAGACATAGCCACTGACTGACCCTCTTTCTGCTTGTAATATATCTGTTTGGGGAAGTTTCCTCTCTAAAGCTAATTTCATGCTTCAAATCTGATGTCAGGAGAGAGCTCTGTTAGGAATAGATAGCCAAGTTTATCAGAATTGTGTTTATATTAGGTCTTCAGGAAAGTCATGTCGTATTTTTCTATGTAAAATTGCATCATGACTTTCCCGATGATCCAATGGGTGAAGTAAGGGTTTTAGTACATTACCTGACAATTGACTTCTCATACCAACATTTTATCTATTAGTTTGTGTTCATCCAAAGTTTACTTCCATATTTATTTTCAGTTTTATATGTCATATATATATATTATATATAACACATATTATATATAATACATAATATTGTATGTGAATATATATATTTATATTAAAAAATCCAGTAAAGAAGTTTTTTATTGTTGTTTTATCAATAATGTAGTTAAATTGTGACCTAGAGAATGGTTGGTTCTATGAGGCAAAACACACTAGGCAATACATAAAGAGGATTATCCAGGCTGCGTAGTTACTGTTTCTACTCACGTTCACACGCAGGAACACTGCCATTCCAAAGACTTTTCATACCAGCCAAGACACAATGACTAGCAGAGTTGCCTTTTAATCGAAACCTAAAGAATAAACAAAGGAGCAGCAAATGGGTGAGCAATCCCCATCTCCCCCTTCATCTCTTCTCTGATGGATGCTCACCCTGCTACCATTTGATTCTTAGGTTCAGGCCTCGCTAAAAGTCTCAGCCCATCAGGAATCTGAATTCAGAAGCTGGCAGGAACTTGGAGGCCAAATTGTTCTAAAAAACCCCAGTATCCTGTGACTAGGAAAGCAATTAGAGCTGGTGTACTTAACGGTTCTAACTACCAGCCTAGCCCAGCGTGACCTACAGAAGGCGCTGAATGCAGAACCAGACTTCTCCACGTGTTCAAGACCCACAAGCTTCAGAGGCCATCCCTTCCTGACATCTCACTTATTCTCATTAGTGAGTCATGAGGAAGAATAGCTCTTAAACTGGGCGAGCAAAGAGAGACAGAACAGGCATTGTTCTCCTTGCACTACAATCATGTTGGACCAGAAGGAGGCTCACAGAATCAGTCAGAACCGAGTGCTCTAGAAAACAAAGAAGGGGAAAAATAAAAAAGAGAATACAAAGAAGGGTAAGGGGAGCAGTTTGTTCACCCTGCGATATCCAGCTTATTATTGGGTCCCATTGTCCTTCTGAAATCATCTGACATCATTATGGGGTGGTAGACTTTGAAACTGCCCAAGACTCCTTGGAAATCATTAAAAATAACTGCTTGATTGCTTGATCTTGTTACCTCCCTCAGACCAGCCGTGACCACCAGGGGTGGCAGGTTCACACAAACAACTAATCCTACTACCAGAAAGAGCAACATTGACCAACACGATCCCAGTGTCAAAGCCATCCCTGACATGACGATAGGTGACTGGGTTAAAACATACTTACTCACACACTATTACAAATTCTACTACTGAGCAGTTGTAAGTTTCCTGAAACCATTGTTGCCCGGCTTATTACAGGGTAAATAGTTTTTGTTTCATCAATTTTTTCCAGCAAACTTTTCATAAATTTATGTTTTCCTGCCTTCAAATAACTATTTAGCTGTTCACATTAAGTTCCGACCATGAATTCAAGACAGGGGCTACGTTTATGTTTGCTCTTGACATTAGTGATACGTGCCATTTTTTCTTTCTCTCCTGATGGTAGTACCACTGAGTTATTTGAAAACGACTCTTCCAGAAGTTAATCTCCCTGGGTCCTCTGTTCCATCTGTTGGTCCCCTTTGGGGACTAAACTAAAAAGAGTGACTATCTAGCACTGAGTGTCTGCTCTCTATTCCGGTCACACTCACCCTTCATTACAGACAAAAGACACCTTTGCTCCAAGCTGAAGATTAAGTGGAAGCAGCACATGGCCATTAGGGAGTTGGCCCAGGAAATTATCACATGATTTCACTAGGAGGAAAAAAGCAATAGGCATTAAGACTGATCTGTGAGGGACAAAGAGACTCATTCGGCGACCACAGGAGAGTCCAGGCACCTGCACATGTGGGGGCTGCCGGGCTCCAGTCTCCCTGGGCGGTACAGTGCAGAGAGGCAGCCCCTCTGAGGTCGTAACTGGGTTCACAGCTATAGAACACTTCTTGCCCCGGGGAAAAGTCATCCGTGCTACTTGGGGTATGCTTGCCATGCAGGATTTCTGGAGGTGACTGACACACTGTGGAAATGACAGTTTCAAAGCACTTGTTAGAAATGGAGGAATGTTTTTTGCCATACCCTCTGGCTCACAGAGAGCTTAAAAATCGTAATGACACTGTAGATGTTAAAAGAAAAGATCTGGTAATTTAGTGCCCAGATTTTACTGGTAAGAAAGCTAAGGGTACAGTGCAGAGCCATGACTAGAACCAAGGTCTCTTTGACACCTCATTTGAATTTTCCCTCTCCTCGTTCCTTTCTTTTTCTTTTCCTTTCTCTTTCCTTTCCTTTTCTTTTCTTTCTGAAATGCATTCCTAAGACTACAGGCAGAACATCCCTCCTACTTTTAAGTACTCTCCATGCAGTTGTGAGCTGCATGTGCTGCTGGCTTGCACGTCCTTACACCTTCTGAAAGAGTTGTCCTTCAAGCACCATCTTTAAGGACGCCCTAATAGTATTCTATGTATGTAGAAACTAAAAATTGCTATAAACACTGTAAGCACAATACTCACTCCACTAAATGTTTCATGGATAATAATTATTGTCAACAAGTGATGATTATTTTATGTCTCATCTATACCATATACATTTTGTATATATTGTTTAAAGTCACTATTACAACACATGTATGAAGTAGAAACTATTCTCTCTCTTTTTTTTTTTAAGAAATATTTTTGCTATAGGGCTCCTGTACTCCCCAGAGACACAGAGAAAGACAGAGAGAGCAAAAGTGAGAAATTGCTATTGCTAGAAATTACTATTTTTCAATGTAAAATAGGGATAAGAATAGTTGCCTCCTCTGGGGCCAGCAGGTGACGAAGTGGTTAAGGTGTTGGACTCTCACATGGCTGACTGCAGTTTGAGTCCTGGATCTAGTGACTTGAAACTCATGCCGGGTGCACATATACGTGTGCTCAAAATTCTGAGAGGAGAATGGAGGAGAAGGGAATGCAGCATGGCCATGGCCATCCCCCAGGGGAGCAATTTCTCACTTTTGCTCTCTCTGTCTTTCCCTGTGTCTCTGGGGAGCACAGGAGCCCTATAGCAAAAATCTTTCTAAAAAAAAAAAAAAAAGAGAGCATAGTTTCAACTTCATATATGTGTTGTAAAAATGACCTTAAACAATATATACAAAATGTATATGGTATGGATGAGACATAAAATCATCATCACTTGTTGACAATTATTATTATCCATGAAACATTTAGTGGAGTGAGTATTGTGCTTACAGCTTTTATAGCAATTTTTAGTTTCTACATGCATAGACACCCACGTAAACACACACACACACACACACACACACATCTCCCTTCCTTAATTCCAACAGCCACTATTATACCTGTACCCATGCCCTGCCCCTGGAAAACTCTCAGTGGACCAGACTCACTTCTGGAGCATGTTGGCAGCTCAGGTCCCCATCTGTTGTTGGACTGACACTTTATGGTGTCGAACCCTTTCATGACAAAACCGGGCTGACAACTGAATCTCACGATCTCATCAAGGGAAAATACACTCTTATTTCCTGATGCTATAATTCCATTTTTTATTTCTGGAGCTGTGCATGTATCAGCTGAGATACACTGAGGAGCAGGGCTGCTCCAGATACCATGTTGGTTGTCTTTGCTGGTGCAGTACATGGACTGTTCTCCCACAAGCTTTAACAGATTTTCTCCATCTGGGCTGGTGTGACACTGATAAGTTACCAACGTTCCATAGGGAAAAAATGTTCCATTGTTGCTGTAGAAGTCTCCATTGAGGATGGTTGAAGGTGGTTCACAGGATATAACTGGGAAAAGGGAAAGGATGGTAAACAATAGCTTGTTTTCATGAATTATTTTACTTTGGATCTAAATAACACATAGAAAAATGAAATAATGTCCTAAACTCTAATTACAATACTGTTTATTGTTTCTAATATTTGAAAATAATCAAACTGACCTTTTTAAAAAGAAATTTGCTCTAGGGCATTTGCACTTGTTGGAGAGGAACAGAGAAAGTAAGAAATCCACCCCCACCCCCCGGAGGGATTGGTACACTGCAATTCCTTTGCCTCCATTCTCCTCTTAGGATTCTGGCATACATGCACATCTGCCTGGTGTGTTTTTCAAGCTGCCAGGTCCGGGATTCAAACCATGGAGTTGGTCATGTGGGATCCAGTGTCTTAACCAGCATGCCACCTGCTGGTCCCCTTAAACTTCCTTTTTTACAGTAGGTGTGTGTGATGTGGGTTCTCCTCATAAGAAATATTTAATGTAAGAATAGCCATATATTATTATGGTTTATATATTTGTGATTTAAGTGGATAATCTCAGTGACTTTATCATAAATTGTTAGAGTATTTATCTACTGCCAGGCTATCTTCATTATATTACTTATTAAATAGCATCTTTTCAGGTTAAATATACCACCTTTGACATTATATATCAAGAAAAATAAATAAGGAAACATAAAAGGTAGGACATGTAAAATGAAATAATCATAAATGCCAGGATTGTAAAATAATAAATGAATACTGTGTTCTATCATAAGATAATGCTGAAAATATTAGTATAGAGTTAATACACATATACAACACTTATTGATTCAATTAAATAATTATTGACTTATAAATATAGAAGTGGAGATATTTTTCTTTTTTAAAGAGAATTATTTTAATTTTATCTACATTATTATTTTTTTAATCTGAACGAAGAGAGAGGGAAAGTAAGAAAGCAAGTCACCAGGTCTGGGACTAAAGCCAGGCTTGGCCATGTGGAGATATTTTTCATAGAAGATAATCTCCTAGAAAAAAGTTTCCAGGCCTAGAAAAATTTGTATAGTAAACTGATAATTCTTTGGCAACTTTAATATTTTTGGAGAATTAAAATTCTTGGCATGTAAAGAAGGCACCTTGAATGTTTCCTCCTTCATTTTTGGACTCTTTAAAAATCAATGTTATTTAAAAACTTTTTTAAAAATTGTATTATTATTTAAATTCAACTAGAGACAGAGAAAATGAGAAAACAAACCACCAGGTCTGGGACTTGAACCACGGTCGGCCATGTGGGAGTTTAATGCCTTAACCAACATGCCATCTGCCAGCCCCATCAATGTTATTTTCTTTTTGTGAGTATTTGTGAATATAATGAACATATTTATCATAGGAAATTTATGAAATATGGATAAACAAAAAGAAGAAAATGAAAGTGGGCCAGAAATAACTACTTTTAACAATGTAATATACATGTTTCTTTTCAGATATGTACATATACATGCATATGTATGTATGGATATTTTTATAATAAATTTGGCAGCTAAATAATATTCAGTAGTGTAAATAAATATATATATACATACTATCTCCACCTTGATAAGCCTTCTCAACCTCTAATTCCTCATAGTTCACTATTTCCCCCCTCTTTTTTTGAAGGGGTTTGTCTTAGGACATGTGCACTAATGGGGGTGGGAGGTTGGAGAGAAAGTGGGAAAGTGAGAAATCGAGAAATCATCCCTTGGGAGGGGTGGTCCTTCAGTGTTCTCTCGGGATTTTGGGCATGCACGCACATATGCCCACCCTGCATGATTTTCAAGCTGCCAGGTCAGCCATGTGGGAATCCAGTAGCTTAACCACCACGCCACCTGCTGGCCCCTTCCCTCTTTCTTAAAGACTTACATGATTTCACATAGGCCCTATTCTTTCTACTAGCTATTCTCGAATCATGTTGAACATTTAGGTTGTTTAACATTTTTCATAATTATTATTATAATTATCATTAATTATCATACATAACGTTGCATTGAGTATCTCTGGAACAAAGTCCTGAGAAGTTCTGTGATGATTTTCTTGGGATAAATTCTGGGAAATGGGGTTGCTGGGTCAAAGGGTCTTTGCTTTTGTTTCTATTGGTTATGAGCCTTCCCCAGAAGTCTGTGCCCACTTTCACTACCATCAGATCTCTGTGTGATATGGATTTCTCCACAGCACGAATGCTTTGAGAATTTACAATGAGTCATCCTTCCATTTTCCTCAAAGTTTTAGAGGTTCATTTGGAAAGATGACATGGGAAAGGTGGAGGGTCAACTAATCAAAAACCAATGCAGCTAAGGGCATGAATCTGAAAGAATTTCAAGGAGGGACAGGATGGTGGCACAGTAATAAAGGGTGACACTCTGTGAGGTGAACCACATGAGAAGGTTCTGGGTTCACATCCAGAGACCTGCCTGAACACTCCAGGTCTGTGTGTGCCCATAGTCTGAGGCTGGCTGAGGGTGGGGATGGATCATGGTGCAAAAACCTTGTTGGGGTACTGTCTCTCTCTCTCTTCTCTCTGTCTCTCTTGTTCAAAGAAGAAACAAATAAAATTTAAAAAAAAGAAAAATAGTTTGAAGGAAAGTTAGTAATCGAAATGACCAGGGGGTTGGCAGAATTCCTAAAAAGTTAAGAAGATCTCCTTCCATTGTTCAGAGTCAGAATAAATAAGGAAGAGTAGCCTGCTTCTTGGAATTGTCACGTGACAGTGAAAGTTGGCAAAGACATTTAATTTTGTCTAATGTCTTTAAAATTTACTCACTGGGACCAGCAGTTAGCGTAATGGCTATGTCGCTGGAGTCCCATGTAGTCGACCGCAGTTCGCGTCCCGGACCCAGTGGCTTAAAACTCAGGCCGGGTGCATGTGCGTATGTGCCCAAGATCCCGAGAGGAGAATGGAGGAGAAGGGACAGCAGCATGGCCATCCCCCCAGGTGATGATTTCTCACTTTCTGTCTCTTTATCTCTTTGTCTTTCTGGTGTGCACACGCGCCCTATAGTAAAAAACCTCTCCAAAAAAATTTTACTCAGTGAGAGGAACAATCTTTGTACTCTGTACTGGAAAGAGCTTATTATCAAAGTAGGGAAGAAGGGCTATTTTCCCCCGAGTTCAAGCCCACAGTTTCACGTAAGTTACATTCTAAGACAAAGAAAATCCAGGAAGACCATGAAACGCATGGGGCCTATTTTCAAATATCTGAGAGACTGCACGTGGAGGGTTAGATTTCTTTGTTTGTTGTAACTCTAGGCGCAAGACAGAAGCAAATGAGTGATTGAAGGGGAAATCATTTCAACTCACTCTCACAGACAGGTGCTTCCTTGTCCCATGTGAGTTTATCACCAGAGAGGAGACAAGCTGCAGATGGGGAACCAATGAGTCGATACCTAAAAGAAAGAAAGAAAATTATACTGCACACGTATTTCCCATGGAAGGTCACCATTTAGAAAATTATAGCAGGTAGATATTACAATTTACAGGACACATTATAACATGACGGATCTCAGAAGGAAGAAATCCCACCTCCATCAGCAAATTCGTTCTTTCTCCCTCAGAACAAGCTCACGTTTCTACTTTTCCAAAGTCATCTTCCTTCCGAGGCCCTCACAATTGAACTTACTCATCCCGGGACACTTTTGTACTTGTCTCTAAGGAACCTCACAGAGTTCTTTTATTCATGTGTATTTTCATCCAGGAGATGATAAGCTCCTTGATTTAATTGTAACATGGATCCCTCTGTCACATCCGGCTTAGAGATTTTCAAGCATGGGGGTTCCCAAAAAGTATCTATCGTGCGAAGGAAAGGGTGATGGCTTTACTCTAAACACCTAAACACCTTCGTATCCGGGGAAAGGCAGGGAGTCCCACCCATCTTGCTGCCAAACAATTCAGAGGCCATGAATTTTGGAATATTTCATTATCATTTAAAATTTAATTAATTATTATTATTAATTTGCTATAAGATGTGTGCACTCACCAGAGAGAGAGAGAGAGAGAGAGAGAGAGAGAGAGAGAGAGGAGAGAGAGAGAAAAGCCACCTGGATCAGGACTCAAACCATGGTCAGCCATGTGGGAGTCCAGAGCCCTAACCACCACACCATTTTTTACTTATTTGGTATCTACAATGTTAGTGTGAGAAATATCCCAAAGAACACTGAGAGCTAAGCTATTTGTGTGTTCTACTGCACAGCAGGGCTAACCTGATCAAATGAAAGTGAAGGGGTTTAATGTAATGCTATATAACAGGACACGGTTGCTGGAATAGTTAAAAATTTTCCGTGTTTTTTTTTGTTTGTTTTTTGCATAAGATTTACTATTTTTAAAATTTAATTTAATTTTGTAATTTCCTACTTACATCCTTGTGGAGGACAATGATTTTTCAGAGCACATGCAGTGTATGATGATTAAATCGAGGATATGACCATATTCGTTATTTTCAACAAAGAACATTATATTCTATTGTGCCATCTTCGATTTTTGTTCTACTAGGGCTCTTTTGTTTTGTTTTGAAAAGGCTATATACAATTGGCAATGCCCCACCCCTGTTTTTTCAGTCTGTTCTGGTGTGCCATGCCACAACCTATTTGCCTTGCTTACGTGCGTTCTTGTATAGGTTAAAGAACTCCTCTTGAGTATACAAGACATGTGATCAGGGCAGTAACAATTTGTAGCAGAGACTAGTGATGTCATCACCAGTATCCACTTTCCTCTCCTTCATCAGTAATGGAAACCTCTATTTTTAACTGGCCACCTGAGATAAAAGCTTTATGTCTCACCTCCCCTTGCAGCTGGGAACAATCACCTAACCAGCTTCTAATCAGAGGATGTAAGTGCAGCGTCTTGTGCAACTTCAGGGAAGTGTCTTTAAAGGGATAGGTGGTCCCTTCCATTCTTTGCTGGCTGAAGCATAGATTATGAGATAAAACAGTCTCTCTGTTGGAGTCAGAGTTGCAAAATGGAAGGAATCCAGGTTTTCGTGAGCTAAGGAATCAACTGATCGAGCCCTGGGCTGCCTACCTTCAGGATTTTCAACCCAAGAGAGAAGCAAACTACTGTTCTGTTTAAGATATTGTTACTTTTTTTTTCTACCTTTTACAGCTGAATCTAATGTTATTATACCAATTCTTCCCAAAACAGTGCCATAAAACTGCAGAGACACGTGGGTATCACAATGAATGTTTTTGCAAACACAGTGACTCCCTTTTATGTTTAGATCCTGTTTGAATCTTACATGTTGCTGATTTGTTTAGTATTGTGTTGGGCCGTAACTTCTTCTCAAGTGTGCCAACAAAACTTAAGAATTGTTGCAAATAAATCAAGAACTAGTGGCATAAGGAAAGAATACAACCACTGCATTACATGTGTTTCCTTCTGCCTGTCTTCTGTTACACATCTCAAAGTTGCCTTGGGGCCAACAAATGGTATAATGGTTACGTTGCTGGACTCTCATCTGGTCAACCACAGCTCAAGTCCCAGACCCACTGGCTTGAAACACACTGGGCATGTGTGTGAGCGTGCCCAAGATACCAGGAGGAGAATGGATTGCTGTGTGGCCGTTCCCCCAGGGGTGATTTCTCACTTTCCCTCTCCCTGTCTCTGTCTCTCTACAGCAAGTACACATACCCTAAGGCAAAAACCTCTAAAAAATGATAATATTGCCTTCAGAGAACAAGATTGTGGGTGTTCTCTGACTTTTGATCTTATAGAGGTTGCCCTTAAAATGCCACTGTGACTAGGCTAGAGCATTGGGGTTAAAAACTTGAAACGGGGTTAAGCCTATGTATGGCCACAAAAACACAATGAATATATTTTTAATTTGCTTTCATTTATAATTGCTATAATAATTGTATATATATCTGGAGTAAAATGTGATGTTTCAATACCGGTTTACATTGTGGAATGATTAGACCAAGCGAGCTAATAAATCCATCACTTCACATACTTCTCAATTTTCATGATTAAAAACCATTTAAAATCTTTTCAGCAATTTTGAAACATGTTATATTAACTGTAGTCATTATGTTGTGCAGTAGATCTCTAAAACTTATTCCTCCTAACGGAAGCTCTACCCTCTGACCTACATCTCCCCATTCTCCACCTCTCCCAGTCCCTAATAACCACCATTCTATTATCTACTTCTATGAGTTCAATGTTTTTAGATTCTACATATAAGTCAAATCATGCAGTATTTTTTTTCCTGTGCTTGACTTATTACAGTGATTTTTTTAAAAAAATCATGATAGAGTGCATGTAGATGCACAAGGAGGAGAAAAAGAGGAGAGAACAAGACAGAGAAAAGCGCCCTCTACCGGGCTGGTCATGCTGCACTCCCCTTCCTCCAACCTGCCAGCCTGCCAGGGCACGCATGCATGCACCAGGCTGTTGTCAGACCTAGTGGGCAGACCTACTGGCTCCCCAGTCTAGATGTTGCTGACTGGGCCACAGAGGTGGGGCCTCACAGCAAGCAAGTGTGAAGAGCTGTAAGATAAAAATATGCTCCAAAAATGATGTTGTAATTTTTTTTGACTTTATGCCCATGTCTGAAATTCTTTTATTGAAACATAAAAGCTTTGATGAAGCTTTAGGCTCTTTCCTATTTTTTTTTTTTTGAGAGATTTTTGTTATAGGCACGTGCACTCACTAGAGAGCAGAGAGAGAGAAAAGAGAGGGACAGAAAGTGAGAAATCACCCCTCCTTCCCCACCCCGGGGAGATGACCACGCTGCAATCACTTCTCCTCCATGGGCACGCAAGCACATGTGCTCGGCATGAGTTTAGGCCACCAGGTCCAGGACTGGAACCGCCGTCTACTACATGGGAGCCCAGTGACGTAACCATTTGCCATCTGCTGGTCCTAATATCTTACTTCTGTACGTAACAGAATTGTTCTGCCCACATTTAGTTCCACTTTTTCTCCAAGTAGTTTTTCAAACAAATGCTGTTCCTTTGCTAAAAGTATAAATAAAAATTTCACATCTTTAAGCCTTTACATAGGCATATATTTTAAAAGAATTAATTTTATTTGTTATTGTTGTTATTATTATTATTAATTTGCTATAGGACATGTGTGCTCACCAGAGAGAGACAGAAAGGGGAAGAGAGAGAAAGTGAGAAAGCAAGCCTCCAGGTCTGGGACTTAAACCATGGTCCGTCATGTGAGAGTCCAGCACCTTAACCACCATGCCACCTGCTGGCCCCATATACATATATTTTAAACCAAAATAACTCATATTCTACCTGGTTTTATAACCTTCTTTAGTAATTATGAACTATGTTGTGAAATCCTCCTCATTATCATCTATGTCTACAACATAATTTGGGGTGGTTGTTTATTGGGTATTACTTGGATAGACCATAATCTATCTAATGAATTCTTTATCACAGGAAGTCAGTTTCTCATTTTTACGGTTAGAGAAAAACACTACAATTCATGTTCTTGTACACATGAAGGACCAGCAGGTGGTGCGGCGCTTAAGGGGGCTATATCCCACATGGAGGATTGCGGGATCGCTATGACCCATTCCTGAGTCTTGGGCCAGCAACTTGAAAATCATGCCAGGGTATGTGCATGTGCCCAGATCCTGAGAGGAGAATGGAGGAGAAGGGACTGTCCCCTCTCTCTCTCTGGCGAGCATATGCACCCTAAAGCAAGCTAAAAATAAAAATTAAAAAAAAAAAAAGGGGACTAGCAGTTGGTGTAATGGTTATGTCGCTGGACTCCCATGTAGTTGACCGTGATTCGAGTTCTGGACCGGGCATGTGCGCGTGCGTGCCCAAGATCCCAAGAGGAGAATGGAGGAGAAGGGATTGTGGTGTGGCTATCCCCTTTAGGGGTGATTTATTGCTTTCTGTCTCTCTGTCTCTCTCTGTCTTTCTGGCAAGTGCACGTGCCCTGTAGAAAAAACCTCTCAAGAAAAGAACTTCATTGACTTTGAAGGAAGTTTGAGGATTCAGCTCTTCAGATCTATGGAAGAGGAAAGGGTTGTAGATTTGGGTGAAATACTGCATGGTTTTGAACCTTTTAGTACATATTGCCAAATTGCCTTCCACAAAATTTCTCCAAGCCTATGTTATGGCTAGGTTTTGTCATTTGTACAATCTAACAGACAAAATGGCATTTCATTTTTATTTTAAAGTGCACTTCATATATTCCAAGTGAAGCTAAACTTTTTTGTATGTTTATTTGACTATTTCCATTTTTCTTTTATAAATAATATGTTCATAGTTCTTTATCATTTTTCAAGCTGGTGATGTTTGAGAATTATTTTGATATTTTTTTCTGTCTGTGGTTTGTATTTACATTTTCTTGTCTATGGAAAGATTACTTTTTAATTTTTCAATTTGTTCAATCTTTTCCATAGTAGATTTTTTCCCCTTAATATATGTCTATTGAGATCTCAATTCAGAAGCACATTTACTAATGTGTCTATTTTTTGTAAAGAATTATTTTATTTCCATTTTAATTATTATCATTATTATTATTTTTAATTTGACCAGAGAGAGTGAGTGAGAAAGCAAGCCACCAGATCTGGGATTTGAACTGTGGTCAGCCATGTGGGAGTCTAGCACCCCAACCACCATGCTGCCTGCTGGCCCCAGTCTTTCTATTTTTTTAAAAGAAACTTAAGTGTTTCGTCTACATATAAACCGATTATTGGGTCATTAAGTCTTACAAATGCCTTTTATAGTTTTGTAGAGTTTATGTTACGAACACCTGTGAGAGATTTCTAAAGGTTTCTCCTCCTGCTTCTTTGTGTATACTGTTTTACAGACAGAGATTCCTTTGATTTCTCTGACTGGCTTTTATTTTTAATTGCTCTGTTACTCCAGACATGGTGATATTTTGGTTTGCTCACCATAAAGAAATCTGTGCTTATTCACAATGGAAGGTGAGAGGAGACTTGCTAGGAGACTGTGTAGAAAGCAGTTCAAATTCTCCACACCCAGATAAAGTGAGAAGGGACACAGAGTCCTAGTTTAAACTTACTATTCTGGTACAATAGATTGAGTAGAAAAGGCTGGAGCTAATGACCAGGGGTAGTTTTGGAAGGAGACTTCAAAAGCTCAGTGGAAAAAATGGAATTAAAGTTTGAGTCTGTTTTGGTGGGAAAAAAAAAAAAACATGGGAAATTTATGCATAGTCTTTGACAATATGCATTTTCCATGAAATTTTTGAAGACTCCCTTCTATATATAATTTTTCAGCTCTGGATTTATTGTGACAACTGTGCACATTCTTTAACATCTTGCTCTAATTTGAGGCAAATCCTGTCCCAAGGAAAAGTCAAGGGCAAGAACCTCATTAATGTTCCCACTCTCCATGTGTACTTTAATACACACCCTTCCCAGAGCTGTTGCTACAGTTAGGACTTACCCTCCCTCCCAAGCCCTGCTTCAGGGCCTCAGACTCAACTAAAGTGCTTGCTGATCTCAGTTAAGGATGCTGGCATGACTCAACTGCCATTTGCCCTTTTCCTTATGAGGCTGATCCTTTTCATTCAAAGAATGAGTGCTTTACCAGTTTTCACATATTTTATCTTTGGCAGGAACATTGTGACTTCTCCTAGTTTACAATCCAGAAACAGATTGCTCCTTTTAAAATATCCCTTTGGTCATATGCTTATAAGTAAGATATCATTTCCATCCAGAAGACCTATTGATTACTTTTTTTTAGAGAGAGGTTTTTGCTACAGGGCGCATGCACTCGCCAGACAGAGAGAAACAGAGAGACAGAAAGCAAGAAATCACCCCCCAGGGGGGGATGGCCACGCTGCATCCCCTCTCCATTCTCTTCTTGGGATCTTGGGCACACACGCACATGCGCCTGGCGTGAGTTTTAAGCCACCGGGTCCAGGACTCGAACTGCGGTCAACTACATGGGAGTTTAACGACATAGCCATTATGCTAACTGCTGGTCCCACCTATTGATTACTTTTTAAAGTGCTGGTGGTGATACTCCAGTTTGCCAATGAAAGCCTGGGTCAGTGGTTGCTTTTGCTGATCTGGAACTCATATTCAAGAGATAGGGCTCCCAACTCACCCTTCATTACAAGAATAATTAACTGTTGATCCAAACTGAGTATCTGTATTTATGTGCACCACTCCGTTGAAGAGTTCTGGAGGAGATCCACATGATTTTCCTAGGACAAAACAAAACAAAACACAGAATTTTAATTTACTCTTGATTATAAGGTTAAAACTAGAGTGAGTGTAGCATCCTGAACAGCCTGTATTCTGATTTTTCCACCTTGAGAAAACACACTCTACACATCTAGAATTAAGCAGCTACAATCACTTTAGACTATTATGTTGACTCCCCTAATAAATGTCTGGAGGATTGTACTCTCAACCTACTAGCCTGAAGCAAAGACATCAGATTTTGGAATTACTTATCCCCTTCCTTTAGTTAGTCAAGCTTAATTCACTGCAACCCACAGACCTTTGTTTCTAGCCTTGTTTTATTCATTTCCTGGTTCCAGCCATCAAGAACAATGTTTAGTGTATGAAAAATTTCGCCCTGATTCCTTTCATGAGAGCTATGCCCATGAAATGAATATCAAGTCAAGGAGTGGAAACTCTAAGCAATGAGAAGGGGTAGCATAGAGGACCACCCTCCTTTTAAACACCTTGGGCAAACTTAGATATCGAACCTTCAAAATTTGAACAAATTAAATCGGATCCCACAGATACTTTTATAGACATGAAGTAGCTCCCAGGGCAGGGTTATTCATATCTATAGATGCCTGTGGCTTTTGATCAGACCGAGTTTTCGAGGCAGGTGATAGAGAAAACACACCCCAAACCCAAGGTTACATTCATAATTCAAAGATGTTCCAATTAGAAACTCTGACCTAGGGCCAGCAGGTGGTGAAGTGACTAAGGCCCTAGATTCTCACATGGTCGACTGGGGTTTAAGTCCTGGATCTAGTGCTTTGATAATCACACAGGGTGCATGGGAATGCATGCCTAAGATCCTAAGGGGAGAACGGAGGAGAAGGGACAGAGGCATGGCTATGCCCCCTGGGGGATGATTTCTTGCTTTTCCTCTCTCTGCAAGCATACATAACCTATGGCAAAACCTTAAAAACAAACAAACAAACAAACAAACACTAAATAAAGAAACTGACTCATTGGTCAGGGTTATGGGACTAGGGTTTTACAGTGAGCCAAAGAGTAAAACTACAGGGACACCAGTTAGCAGAGCGAGCTCTGCTGTGCTTCCTATTTCTCTCCAGTTAAGTCGATAGCTGTATAGGATGAAGAAACAGATGTACAATAATGGCAAAGGTTTTCCTCCTCTATAATTCACCTAAGGACGGTGCTTTTCTTTTCTTTTTTGGAGAGGTTTTTGCTATAGGGCACGTGTACTCGCCAGAAAGACAGAGAGAGACAGAGAGTCAGAAAGCAAGAGATCACCCCCCGGGGGATGACCACGCTGCAATCCCTTCTCCTCCATTCTCTCAGGATCTTGGGCACGTATGCACAGGATCCTAATGTGAGTTTAAGCCACCAGGTCTGGGACTCGAACCATAGTCCACTACATGGGAGTCCAGAGATATAGCCATTACACCAACTGCTGGTCCCAAGGATGGTGCTTTTTAATGGCATTTACTCATTAGGAAGTTTTTACTACTTGGAAGACTACTTGGCTTTCTGTTCTTTCTGCCCTTATTTCACCAAAATGTGAGACAGCTTCGGCTCATAGCATCACATGCCAGGCTTCCTAGCCAAGTGCCTAAATCCAGAGTTAACCACTCACACCCTTGTTGATTAGTGTTACTGCCCTTGTGTGTATCAAGACATAGTTTCCTATCCTTTTTTCTCCATTCATTCCTCCCTCCTCAATTTTCAGGGTGCTCACGATAAGCTGCCTCTCGGACACTACATAGCAATCACCATTTGTAGTGGGTTTAATGATGTTCCACCGAAAGATACGACCACCTAGAATCTCAGCATGGGAATTTATTTGGAATAACCGTCTTTTTGGATATAATTAAAGTAAGGCTCTCAAGATGAAATCCTGGATTCAGGGTAGGCCCTAAATCCAATGACTTATTTCCTATAATGGAAAACAGGGAAATTTGAGACAGACACACAAGAGAAAAGGTCCTATGAAGATAGAAGTGAGAGACTAGCAGATGGCATAATAGTTACATGGCTGAATCACTGTTCGAGTCCCAAACCCAGTGGCTTAAAACTCACACTGGGCATATGTGCGTGTGTGCCCAAGATTCTGAGAGGAGAACGGAGAAGGGATTGCAGTGTGGTCATCCCCGCTAGGGAGTGATTTATTGCTTTCTCTCTCTCTCTCTCTGTCTCTCCGGTGAGCACATGTGCCCTATAGCAAAAATATAAGAGAGAGAGAGAGAGAGAGAAAGAGAGAGAGGCTGGATTGAAACAATGCGTCCACAAGTCAACAAATACCTAGGAATGCCAGGAGCCATTCTGGAAACCGAAAGAGGCTAGAATTGTTTTATCTTCTAGAGCCTTAGGAGGGAGAGTAGTCAGTCCTGCCACTACCTTGATTTCAGAGTTCTAGCCTACTGAAGTAAAAGGTGTAAAATTTCTCTGATTTTTAAGTCACGAGTTTGCGATAATTTGTTATAGCAGTCCTAGGGTAACTAATACACCACTTTCTTCTGGGGTTAAGCCAGGTATTTAAGGACAAGAACAAAATAGATGAGCCATCAAACAACCTCCTCAAAGCAGCTGTGCCTTCTTTCTGTGAAAGTACGTTGTGCGCTCTGTGTGCGTGTGTGTGTGTGTGTGTGTGTGTGTGTGTATTTTTTTAAGATAATTTTTTGCTGTAGGGCATATATGCTTGCACTCGCTGGAGAGAGAGACAGTGAGAAATCACCCCCCAGGGGGAATGGCCATGCCACAATCCCTTCTCCTCCATTTTCCTCTCAGGATTTGGTGCACACATGCACAAATACCTGATGTGAATTTTAAGTCACCAGGTCTGGGACTCAAACCATGGTCACCTATGGGGGAGTCCCATGATGTAACCATTATGCCATCTGCTGGTCCTGTGTGCTCTCCCTATATATTTTTTTAATTTTTATTTTTTTGAGAGGTTTTCACTATAGGGTGTGTGCACTCGCCAGACAAACAGAGAGAGACATAGAGACAGAAAGTGAGAAATCACCCCCCAGGGGGGATGGTCACGCTGCAATCCCTTCTCCTCCATTCTCCTCTCGGGATCTTGGGCACACACGCACATGCGCCCGGTGTGAGTTTTAAGCCACGGGGTCCGAGACGCAAACCGTGGTCGACTACGTGGGAGTTCAGCGACATAGCCATTACGCTAACTGCTGGTTCCCATGTGCTCTATATTTTTTAGAGAGGCTACACTTAACTACCTCCTCTTTGGAGGAGATTTCTTCTGTTCATCCAATAAGTCTGGGCTGGTGCCTATGCATTTGCATTTTTAAAACATCTCATTGGGTTCTCACAGACGCCATTCTGTTGGAGCCTGAGAGAGATCAAAGACAGGTTAAAGCCTTTTATCCTCTGTAGTCTTTTCTCACAGGATTGCTCTTCTCTATCCAGACTCCCCTGCATGTGCTGTGGTATTCCAAGGCTGAAGCCACATCCCTGGTCCACTACTGCGTCCATTCCAGGAAAGGCCTAAAGCTGACTGAAAGACAAGGGAACCTTTTCCAGCCCTTAAGAAGAAACAACCACTTCTTTTCTATAGACTCTTTGGACTGCTCTCCCCTGGCTTCTCATCCCCAGAGTGAAACCATGCAGGTTGGAAGATTAAGATGGGGCCCAGACTCCATTTGGGTGCCCCACCTCCATGCAGATGCATCCATTCTCTGGTACAAAAATACACAGGTACATAAAGAAAACAGGGGAAAAAAATAAGGCCTAGAACCAAGCTAACAAATGCGTATACTTTTAGCCAAGGTCTTAAATTACAAAGGCAAAATCTTTTTGTTTGCTTAGCTCATTCAGCAGAAGACTGGCTAAACCCTTAGCTTGATAAGATCCATTTGCCAATGTTGTCCTTTGCAAGCCCCTGTTCCCCTCATGAACTTGTGGGAGTGTTTATCAGCTATGCATTCTCAGTCAGTGTTCATAGGCGTTTCCATCTTTCCAGTGAAAATGTCTTTCTTCCTTATTTAGATAGTTTGTTCCTCACTGTTTTAGCTCCACCCCTTCCCTCACTCCTCTCACCCACTCCTTTTAGACACACCCCCAGCATGGAGCGTTCATTTGCATCATACCTATTCAAACACAGCTTGGCAACGCTGGAGCCCACCCATCTTAGCAATGACGTGATTGTAACATTTCCACTTAGGATAAACTTACACTCCCAAACAACATACTGTCATGATAGAAACAGGAAGGATCGAGTCCAGATAGTCCAACCCATTTCAGATGAGGAAGGGGGCACTGACCAGCAGGAGCAGAGAGTTCACAGCGAGGGGCAGGGCCGCTCCACATCCCGTTCCCTTGAAGGTCACGTGTGCAGCGGATGGTGCTCTCCCCAAAGAGGCTGAAGGTTATCCCTGTGTGCGGGTCGTGGTCACATGTGTAAGATACTTCTTTTCCATAGGGAAAATCTCCCAGAGGAGCTCCTGTGTGTCTCCCATTAAGGATGGCTGGAGGATCTGGACAAAAGATTTCTAGAGAGAAGAAATAAGCTTTAAGTTCCATTAAAATTTTTAAATTTTGATCTGAGATGGTTCTGTAATTATGTAATATCATGACTACCTTGGCAATTAAACAATACCTTTCTTTTTTTTAGGAGAATAGAAACTGTAAAATAAATGTAGGAGGCCTTTGCTGGGATGGAGCGAAATGAAATGATACCTAAGTCAGTGTTCATTACAGGAGCCAAAAAGAAACTTAAACATCCTGAATTCTTTTGGTAGTTTAGATTTCTCAATAAAAATTAAGAGTTTTTTTATTTAAAAAATAATAATTATTTATTTAATGTAATCAAATTTAATTTGCTATAGGACATGTGTGCTTATGAGAGAGAGAAAGCTGCCATGTCCAGGACTCAAACTGCAGTCAGCCTTGTGGGAGTCCAATGTCTTAACCACCATGCACCTGCTGGCCTCCAAGAGTATATTTCTTTAACATAAATAAAAATCTTCTTAGCCACATTAAAGGAAAATCATGGGACCAGCAGATGGCATAATGGTTACATTGCTGGACTCCCACGTAGTTGACTGAGTTTTAAGTCCTGAACTCGACGGCTTAAAAATCAAGCTAGGTGCGTGTACATGAATTATGAATGCCCAAAACCCCTGGAGGAGAACGGAGGAGAAGGTACTGTGGCATAGCCATCCCCAATGGGGGGGGGGTGATTTCTCACTCTCTGTCTTTCTGTCTCTCTGTCTCTCTCTGGTGAGTGCACGTGCCCTATAACAAAAACAAAAACAAAAAAAACCCTCTCTATAAAAAAGGAAAATCATTAATTCAGCAAGCATCTTTCTGAGCATCTAGTGTATGTCAAGTACTGTTTTAAGCACAGTATAACATAATCTTTAAACTCAAAAATCTTCATACTAGATATCTTTCTAAAATATATTACACATCCTACATATTTAACATTCGTGTATCAGTCATTTAACTTTTTCTCAATAATGCCAGGTTATGCTCTCCTTATCAAAGTGACTCATTATAGTAATGCGATCACAATGAAATGAACTGTAACCTGGACTCCTATACATGTTTCAAAAGGCTCAAGCATATTATGCTTTTTGATATATTCATTAGTTTTGCAGGTTTTTTTTTTTTTTCTCATTGTAGAAACATTTATTTCTTTGAGTGTCTCTATTTGGAGACACTCCCTCCCTGTTGTAATTTGAACTAAGGAAGAGGTTAGTGCAGCTTGAAGGGGTTATGAATAAGCTAATTAAAGGCTAAGATAGTTTAAGCAATATTTATACTCTAATAAGTAACTTCAAGTATATCTTTGGGTTTATGAAACTATTTTTCCTTTTTTTCTTGCATGCTTCTTAAAGGTTCCAGGAAAATTATAAATGAGCTGTCTTTAAAATAAGAATGATAAAATTATCAAGTTTGATCAGATACATCAGTAAAAAAACATCCAAAGAGTTTTGAGGCAAAGTACTCATTTGAGCAAAATCCTATTGTAAACATGTTATTTATCTTGTATCCTTTTTCTCTTGCTATATAAGA